AGCAGCAACACTTTAATTGACCCATTCAAGCCAAGCAGAAACAGAATACCAATTAACAGTTCATTCAATTAGGGGCAGCCAGGTAAAAGTTGTCAAAGTAGAGCCACGACTCGAGTCCCCAGCTCGCAGCTCGCAGCTCGCAGCTGGCTTAGCCCCAGCTGTAAATTGCAGTGGAACGTATCAGTGCTGAGGCGCCAGAGTAAGCCTGGCCATAAGATATACAAAATAATGAAATATGTCCAAGTATATTTAATTGCAATCGACGGTAACTAAATTGCGTTAATGAATGAAGATTCGCAGACAACATTGAGTAAATATTGCTGCTTAGACATCCATATAGACATGCCCATGTAGCTATGCTAGTCAGCGATACCGTAAGGCAATAATTCTAGAGAGCACTTTATAGGCAATGAGAGGCTATAATTATCATCTAAAGATAGAGTCTATGTCATTGACTAACATGGAAGGAAGCTCAGCTTGAATGCCATAAAATACAAAAACTTATCGATGGCTCTTGAATAAATGAACATAGAATGTTTTGATTTAAGTCTGTGTATCCCCAAAGTCCAGTCGCTGTTTAGCTCCACTTTTACTTATTGTATGACAATTTAACAGTGTAACGGCATAGTAGTATAACAGTATATAATATAACAGTAGCAATAAAATGTCAACTTAATAGTATAGTAGCATAACAGTATATAGTATAACAGTAACAATAATAAGAGTATACCAGCAAAACAGTATACCTGATTATATGTAGAGCTCTAGTATTCAAGTATAACAATATACTAATGTGAAATTGATTCAGTATAACAGTATATGAGTATTTCACTAGACTGGTATATTATATTGTATGGTATATTATCGTAGCAATATAACCATGCGAGAGTATACCAGTATGCGAGTACGTCAGTTTACTACTACGGCAGTAAAATATTATCTTTGCCAGAATACAAATATATTAGAAAGTCAGTATAACAGCATACTAGTATGCCAGTTAGTACGTAGTAGACCTATAGTCTAGTATAATCGTATAACACTATCATAGCATGCCAAATTAATAATATACCAGAATATCAGTAGAACAGTATAATACTAAATCATTAAACTAGTTAGTGGGTATACCTGTTATACAAACGTATAACAATAGTATAGTATGCCAGCTGCTTAATAGAATAGCTGAATACACTGTTATATGTATGTATACAGTCATATATTCAGCTAACTTCGCGCTGACAATCCCTACGAGCGCTGTTAATTAATAAGTTTCTGGTTCGCCTTTATATAAATCAAGCTGAGATAGAAATCTTAAAAGCAAATTCGAAATCGAATGGCCCACGCGCAGCCTATATCCGCCTGGCTGAAGGCCTAAGGCTTTGGCTAATTTCCGATAAATAACATTGCAAATTTTACAAAGCTCTCTTCCGATAGCCAATAAAGGAGTTGAGGGCCAAAAGCGAAAAGGATGTTAACTTGCTATAAATACATATTGGGCTTTCGATGAGACTCCGTTGGCTGGAATCCCACAGCGTGTTAATGGCAATTAATTAGGGGCGTAAATAGGCAACGGAATTGCGGCCTTTTAATTGCCCAAACCAATGGCAATTGCTGCTGCTGCTGCTGCGCTGCTGCTGGCTGTCTGGCTGGCTGTCTGGCTGGCTGCATGATGCGTTCGATCGACTGGGCCCTGGCCAGGACATCTGCAGGCCACCCAAGTGCGCAGCGCCTTGGGCGCTCCTGCTGATTAACGCCGGGTATTAACAAGCATTTAGCTGGACAAAACAAAAAAATAATAAAAATTAAGAGCGAAAAAACAAAACACGACGCAAAAAAGGGGCCGCAGGATCGCTGGCAAAGGCGAGCCGACAGCCGAGAGCCGAGAGGACATTTATCCTGCGCGCTGCATGTTGCATGTCTGGCGGCAATAAAAAATTCATATTTAAAATGCATAACAATGAGACGCGACTGAGCAACGCGAAAGAGAACAAAAAGCGAGCGGCACGCGAAGCTTAGACAGAGTTAGCTCAGCCAGGAGCAGCCACAGCCACAGCCACAGCCACAGCAGCAGCAGCAGCAGCAGGAGTTGTCCGTGCACCCACAAGCGGAGGGACGGCCAAGGATCGGGCCATTGCACTGGAGCACCTTTTGCAAAATTAAGCTGACTTTGTTGTTGTTGTTGTTGCTATTGTTGTTGTTGCTGTTGCTGTTGCTGGCACGCGCGCTGTCCTCGTTGAAGTTGCCGTTGATCCTTGCACTGCTTATCCTTAATTTCGTTTACTTTTTGCGCCCCGGCTGTCGTGGAGTTCCTTTTGCATTTAGCTGGACAGGTGCAAAGTCTTTTCTTTTTTTTTTCTCCTTTTACTCCTTTATTGTGTCCCTTTCGCTACTCGCTGTCACCCTCTCTCTCTCTCTCTGTGTCGCTCTCACTCTGTCTGTCTCGCTCGCTTGGCATTAATTCGCTTCTTTATTTTTCGGTAATTGCCAAAAATGTTCCGAGTGAACGAGCGAATCCTCTCGGTCCGCCACTGCCGCCTTCGTTTGCTGCGCTGTGCTGCGTGCTCTGATCCTGCTGTCGTAGGATTATGGGACGCCTTGGCAGGACAGCGCGCTGATCCTTAGCGCTTGATTGCGATTTCACGTACCCGAAATTCCCGTTCCCATTTCGGCTCTTCGCATATTTGCAGCCCCGACAGCCATGCGATCATTGACTTTAGTCAGGCAATCCGCCTGCAACAACCCCCTGTCCCCTATCCCCTGTCTCCTGGCCGCTGCCCCTGTTCCTGCTCCTGCTCCTGCTCCTGCTCCTGGCCTCTGCCAGTCTGTGTGGCCAGCATAAGGATAACGATGCAGCTCGGCGAGAATTTGGCACATGGAACTTTTGCCATAGCAATTACTTACGCAAATATTTAACGTGTTAAATGTATATACTAAATAATATATATTAAAAAATAAATAGCTATGTATCTAAGTACTTGTTTATAAAATAATAAATATACATATACATAAATATGTACGTATATATAGACACATATATTAAATTAAAATAATTCGCATTTCTGTTTAATTTCATTATTTACTTAGCTTGAAAACCCCTAAACACGCTTTCACACACATAGCATTTAGCGTTAGTATTTATTTGCCATATGCCAGTGTGTGTGTGAGTGCATGGACAGATGCGCAACAAATTTAAGTTCATGAACAGAAAAACGTAAGGAAAGACTGAGCTTAGCAACAAGCCTTGACATTGACTGTATAAGAGAACTGGCATATTGTAAGAGAGAGCGAAAGAGCAAAAGCAGTTGTAGCTTTGCCTTGCCGCTCTCGCACCGCACAGATGGCGCCTACTGACATGAGCCAGTTACAGCAACAATCCTAGGCAATGGGCAGCGGCCATTTTGTAAGCAGCAGCAACAATAACAAACGCCAATATCCAATCGGCAAACGCAACGACGAAACCAAATCCACACAACAACAACAACAAGCGCTGTAAGCTGAAATGCAATTTGAAAGCGCAACAACAGCAAAGCAAAAACCAAAAGCAAGCGCAAAAGCAAACGCAAAAGCACGTGCATTGCTTGATAGCGTGTGTATGAGCGAGAAAGATATAGACGAGCAGCTCTGTGGGCGTAGGGCGCGTGTGCCTGAGTGCAGCTTAGCGACTCTTGGTTGGTTGGCGTTTAAACCTAATAAGTATATGTGAGTGTATGTTTGTGTGTATGTGAATGCATGCAAGCAGTAAGAATTGCTGTACATGCAAAAGGATGTATGTGTGTATGTATTTACATATGCTTGCATATTCTTTTGTGGGAATTGAATACTGTTTGCTGTTGTGATCAAATTCTAATGAAATCTCTTGCATAAAAGCTTTGTTATCCGTTAGTTACAACAAGATTGACTTGTTTTTCTTTTTCTTCTTTTATCATTCTTCTAATTTGTTTGAGTGCCCAAAATTTTTGTTTGGCAGCTGTAAAGCCGGCCGAACTTGTACCCAAAAACTGATTTTAAGTCCGAACCAACAAAGAAAGATACATTCGTTGGCTAATTATGAATAACAAAAGCGCCAACCGGCCCAGAAACCCCTTTCGATGCCCATTGTTCAAGATCTTCAAGTTGCGGCAGCTGGACTGCTGGCAGTGGGAACCAGGACGCCTGCGCTTGGGATGCTGCAAGGACAATGCGATGGCGGGCTGACCGGCTGACCAGTTGACCAGGTGACCAGTTGACCAGGCCTGTCCTATGGGCGGCAGCTGTGCGGCGCGTTAGAAACTAGAAAAGCTCTTTGTTCCTTTTGTCCTATTGTTTAGTCTGGACAAATCAGTTATGTCCACTCATAGGTCTGAGAGTATGTGTGTGTGTGTGTGTGCGAGAGGGCGCCTACATACAACTGTGATCACGTACGGCTTACGCTTTTCAAATATCTTATAAACTTTTTGTCTCTTTGTCTTTTTCGTCTTTGACAGCGTGTCGCCATCTAGCGGCTGCACTCGGCTCATTTGTATAGCAACTGATATAAAGCTTGCAAGTTGCAACACCCAGCTGGTGGATGTCCTGGCTAAACTTTTATTTCAGTTTGTTATTTAACGAAACTTTTGATTGGACAACTGCAAAAGCCATTGTAAGGGGAAAATAGCTTGAATAAATTAGAGTGGACCTTCAAAACTGATTGAATTTGTCTAAGAGGGAGAACAATATCTAGAATTGAAGGGGAAAATTGGAGTGGACCAGATGCTATACACTATACATTATATTCAAAATTGATTGATTCAAAGTTGAAATAGAAGGGGTAATTGGGATCTAATTTGCATTTGGGATTTTAAAGAGAAGGGGGAATTAGAGAGACCCCATAATCTCAAACAACACATTGAAATCTGATAAACTTCATTAATTATCTTAAGCTTTTAGCTAATTTATTTTTTAATTATATAATTTTATTTTTTAAATATATGTAGAATGGACACTTTTAGCCATAATTTTAGTTTAAATCAATAAAACTATGTTGCTTTTTACATAAACATGTATATTTATTTCTTAGACGATTTATAATTAAGAATGATTTAGACTAAAGTTTTACGCTTACAAGCTAATACGTTTTCTCTGGTTTGCCATTTAATTCAAGAGACTTTTATATATAGACATATACATATATATACAAATATATATATATATATAAACATACATATACATATATATATATATATTTGTATAGATATTATGGTATATTAATGCTACCAGCTTATATATATCGTGTTTCTGTACTTACTAAACTTCTAGTTAAAAAAAAAAAGATTTGCAAAAAACGAAATCAAAAATTATAACTTTCGCTCTTTTCTTCTTCTTTTTTGTTGCATGACCAAAGTCGATAAATAAAAATTTTTCTATAACTTTTTACAAGGACCTAAGAAAATTGTTGCTCTCATTTCTTTATTATTATTATTATTATTATTATTATTCTTTTTTTTCAATGCAGCTAAGTTTATTTTTATAAGAATTATATTTTATGTAGAAGTGTGTGTATGTGTATATATGTGTGTGTTGACATCTTCTAATTTTTAGCAATTCTCGAAAAGTTTTCGTAAATGTTCTAAATACACTTGAATAATTCGTGTAATTTAGGAAAGATTAACAAATTGGAAACAATCAAACAATTCCATGTGATATAATAGAATTCACAAGCATTCAGAAACCTCGCTAGAATTCCTGTATATCAGCTTAAAATGTAAATTACACAGAAATATATATATATATAAAAAAAAAAGAAAGAGAAATGATTAACAAACGGAAAATGCCCTAATTTAATCTTGTGTGTTATTGTGTGAGGGCTTTTCTTGAACATGCCCAAATCTTGTGTGGTATTATAGGCCGGCTTATCCTTAAAATGATGTGGATATTATTATTGCTATTCAAACTGCATATATGTGCGTGGGTGTGTTGTATTGGTTGGTGTTTTGGGAAGGTGTATAGGTGCGTGTGCGTGTGTATTCTCTTGGGCTACTTATTTGACGAAAGCCTCGGGCGGAATTTTGTTTTCCTTGAACAGTTTCTCGAACACAAAGGCGGCATGGTTGAAGTCCCAATTCGTCTCCTCTAAGCATCTGAAAGGCATAACAAATAATAAATGTGAATATAGAATATATATCGTATACAGGTGTGGTATGGCTATATTGTTGCCCTGGCTACGCACTTGCGACTCCAGTCCAGATTCATTTGACTTTGTGCACTCATCGCTTGCACCATTTGCATTTTGGTGGCATCGTTGAGGGCAGCCGCATTGCCGCCAGCGGGCACGGCAGTTGGATTCGATGGAGACGGTGTTGCCAGCAGGGCAACAGGTGCGCCAGGCACTGCCTGGCTCGGTTGCAAACGATTCTGTATTGATCCCTCGGCCACGGCTGCTGCCCCGATCGGTGTTAGGCCAACGGCCATATCGGCGCCTGGCGCTGGCTGATGCTGTGTGCGCTTGAATTCGCGTGTCTGCTCGCAAGTGGCACTGTTTAGGAAGATCGTCTCGTTGCGAATGCAAAAGCCCGAGTTCTGTGGCACCACCACAAAGGTGCGCATAAAGTGGCGCAGCTCGTAGGCCTGCATGTTGCTGGGCGTACCAGCGCTCGTATCGCCAGTTAGCTCCTTGAACAATCCGGTCACCGTGAATAACATCATTTGGGGCTGCAGAGAAGAGAGATTCGATTAGCACAATTTCCGATGTGGCTGCTGCTGCTGCTGCGACTCACATTGTATATGGTCAGGTCGACCGTGAAAGTGCGACGTTCGTGCAGTGTACGTGGCCATTCGTCCAGTGTGGACACACAGGCAAGTCGTCCGCTCTTCAAAAGGCGTATGCGTAAATCTTCACGTTCGCTGTTTAGGCGTCGTAGATTGCGATTGAATTTCCAGAAGTTATTCAGTCTACTAGATCGGCGAGACAAACAATGAGTTTAGGAGAGTTCAGGTCAGGAGTGCTATAGCGGACTTACCTGCCCGACTGGCTGACCGAGGGCATCGATATCGAGAGCATTGCATGCTCGTGATACGCATCCAGCAGCGGCTGGCGATTATCCGAATCGAAAATGCTAAAGTATTGATCCAGGAATTGGCGCACCACATCGGCGCCAGCGCTGTCGCATAAGAAGGATGCCTTGGCCGGTGGCAGCACCGACGATTCGTTCAAATCGAAATGGACCTGCGGCGGCAGCGTTTCCCCATCCTAAATCATAATGATTAGCATCGGTGGTATGATCATCAACATCATCAGTAATGCATAATTAATGAATGAATGCACTCAGCATTCTCATGATTCGCTTCACTTACCAGTTTCAGGATTTTTGGGAATTTACGGCGTACTTCACTGTAAATAGTTTTGCAGTTGGAATTGCATCCGATTTTTGTTTGATGTTGTTGTTGTTGTTTTTGTATTAGTAGTGTGCAGTGTGCATGCATACGTACACGCAAATGTATAGATGCGGCATACATACGCACACACGCACACACACACAGGTATATATATGTCGAATGAATGAATTAGTTAAACAATAATACATATATATACAAAATATTAATGCAATTCAATGGCAATTTACATACACATACACATGTGTATGCATAATTACTTGCCCCACTGTCGCCTTGCCATTTCGAAATGCATTTTGGCACCTGTTTCGCTTGCATAATAAAGCAATTTGAATTGCATTGAGAAAACTTTGAAGCAATTGCAATTGGCTTTAATTGGCGCTGGTTATAAAAAACAAAACCCTAATGCGCAAAAGGCCTGGAGTTTTCTGCAATAATTTAATTTTGAAGCAGAGCCAAACTTTTAGGCCGTTTTTTTGTTTTTACTTTTTTTTTCATTTTTTTATTTTTATTTTTTATATATATATATTTTTTTCATATTTTTTTTTTCAACATTTTTTCAAATACCCAAAGGCTGCGCGCCAAAGTTCAGCGCGCAGCCCACTGTCCACATTGCGCGCGTTTGTATATATATGTGTGTGTGTGTGTGAGAGAGAGAGAGTGTGACTCTGTGTCTGTGTGTGTCTCTTGCTGTCAACTAAGCATTGCATCCACAGACTAGGCACGCCCCCACCGCCAATCACTACAGAGTGGAAAGGCTTGCACTGAAACGCAGTCGATGGGCTTTATGTACGGTCGCCTTCGCCAGCTCTTGGGGTAGGGGGTAGGTGTTAGGTCGTGTTCTCATCTGCATGGATCGTGGTAATGGAGTCGTGATGAGCGTGTGTGAGAGTGTGTGTGTGTGTGCATGTCTGATCGTCAGTGTTTTGCTTTTTAGCTGTCCGCTGGGCGCGCGCACCGTGCCTTAGGATGAAGCCAACGACAACATTGACGCCGACGCCGACGCTAACGCAACAGCAACTGCAACTGCAACAACAACAACAGCAACACAGCAGCGCAGCTCAATTCGTAAACTAACAATGGCGGCCACAACGGCCCACAATGGAGCCGGCCGGGAGCGAGCGTGCGCGAACTCGCGCGCGCGTGCATGTGTCCGTGTGAGTGCAACGTGTGCGTGCGTGCGGGCGTGCGTGTATGCGCTCATGTGGGTTGCCTTGTTCGGGGCATACGACGTGTTGTCCTTGTCTGGCATACGCAATGCCAGCGCAAGGCGGCCCGTTACGCAGCAGCATGCCTGCCTGCATAGTGGAAGCGCAATGCACTGTTCGAGGTCCGTGTGTCAGTGTGAGGCTAAGTCTGGCGTACGGTGTTGCCATATCGTCAAAATGTCAGTTAGTATAACGTATACGGTGTTTCTGTTCAATATTATACTTTACGCATGTGTCGTTCTTTTTTCCACTGGGCTTTCTTTTTTTTTTTAATATTTTTTTTTAAATATTTTTTTCTTATTTTTTTTTTTAGTTTTTTTTTTTTTTGCATTGTATTTTTTTTTTCTGCTAACTGCCAAAAGCTCGGCTCCACTTTCGTTGCTCTATTCAATGCTCCAATGCCCCCAAATGCATTTGCTTACTAAAGAGACAATTAAAGCTGCGAGTGCCGTGTGGCAAATCCAAATGGCTTTGCGGCAGTGCGAGCTCAGCAAATCAGTAGAGTCAAAGGTAAGAGAGCGGGAAAGAGAGAGAGAGAAGAGAAACAAGGATTAAGAACACTGCTGGCGAGGCTTTTGCAGATAGACAAAGACCTCTAGCCGCTGTCCGTGTTTCGCAACGTTGATGATTCGCTGGCTGCGTCCCATTTCGAAAGCAGAATAAATTACTCAAAGCATAGTATACCTGACAAATTGCTGTGGATCCTTGTAGCGCAAACGGCATGGATTATTGCGCAAGACCAACTCAATAATCGGCAAATTGCGAAAGACCAAAAGATGAGCCAGCGACGGTAGCTGCAACCAGAAGAAATGATATTTGTAGAGTCAAAGTCGACAAGTTGTTTTAAGAAATTATCATCTGTACATTGTTGTCGCCTAGATAAAGGATCTTGAGATGCGGCAAGCGCTTGTCGGCGCCCTTGAACGATTCCATGGTGGACATATTGTTATCATTGAGATTGATTGCCTCCAGATCGGGTATATTATCGCAAATGATGTCCAGTGCTGCGCTCATCACATTCACCCGGAACAGTGGACAAAAGAACGGCTTCAGATCTTGATCGGCATGGAAACGGGACAGATCCAGTGCCTTGGTCTGTAAATTGTAGCGCTTGGCCATCACCGCCTTCATTTTGGCCTTGAAGTCCTCGTCAATGGTAACCAAGGGCACGCCGCTGCGCACGCGTGGCATCAGTCGAAAGCCATCCGGCAACTGTGCGTGCCTTCCCAGCTGCTGTATGCGCTCAGCCACCTCAAAGTCATCCGTGAAGAAGATGACGCAGTGGCGCTCCGTACGCCAATATTGAGGGATGAAAACGTGCGGCGACATAGCAGCCAGTAGAGCACGCAGCAGCGTCTCCTTCTCATAGATCTGGCCATTTTGTATCTGCAAAACAGAAAGGGAAATGAATATTTATTTTGTTGGAGCCTCACATAAACGCAAATTGATTATGACTTATCTCTGCTTAATAATAATTAGTTAATTAGTCTAGTGATTAGATTACAAGCGAGCTTTAAATCAATTGAGTTTCTCACTTGACTTCAATTGGCCTTCAATCACTTCCCTCAATCAGTCAATAGTCAATTATTTAGTCTGTCACTCTGTCAGTTAGAGCTTTGCTATTCTGTCAGTCAATCAAATTGTTAGATAATTAATATGTCTATCTATCAATTAGGGAACTTAATCGTTACTAAATAACTAAGCAGGTCAATAATTCGCACATTCAGTCAATCAGCCCATAGAGGGTCAACCAGTCAGACAGTCAATCAGTCCTTGCAGAAGACAGTTCCTAAGCTATTCTATCAGTCAATCAACTAACTGCCAACTAGTCATTCAATCAATCAAGTGTTCATTCCATAATCAGTCAATCAGCCTATTTGTCAATCAATTCATCAATCAGCCAACTAGTCAGTCAATGTTATTCATATTCAATCGGTCTCTCAATCAGCTAGTCTATTTATCAAGCCAGGTCAATCAGTCTAAGTAGTCAATCGATCAATCGATTGTCGGTTACTCAATCACTCAGGTTAATTGTGCTTTCAGTCACTCATCAATCGCCGCTCGCACTATCAAGCACAATCTATATTAGTGATGTATAATATATGTCTATATTAAGAATGCTGTATAAGTGATCTAATTCAAAATAAACAAACAGAAATCTTGGAGTGAGTGGGTGTAGATAGATATACATACATATACATACACTGCGCGTCATCAGGTTAGCGCCCCCCTTTACACTCAACCTCAAAGCTAAATAAAATCTAAACCAGCAGAGCTCCATCTTTGAAATTTTTTTACAATATACTCCATTTATTTCTCTTTAAAATACAAAAAGAATGGCTACTGTAACAATAAGGATTATTTTTAAATAATTTTTTTTTGTAAAATGTACAAAAAACATGTAACAAAAATTTGGTCATCAGATTAGCGCCCCCTGCGCTAAATTCAATTTATTTAAGTTAATTACCAAAAATAACACCTGTATTTTAAGCTGCGTAGTGCCGTTTTTGTTTGAAATTACTTTAAAAATTCGATTAGGAATGGAATTATAAAGTTGTTCAATATTATTCAAGGATATGGTTGATTAAGCGTGTTCAGTACCTTCGATTAACTCTGTCTTTGTACTATAATGCTTTCCGGACTCATATACTTTCCTGACCAACCATCCCCAGACGTTTCCAATGATATTAAGGTCGAGTGAGTATGGTGGCCACTCCATGAGATCAATTTTTTGGCCCTGAATCCAGAACTACACGGATCGGGCGGTCTGAATTGAGGCATTATCATGCTGGAAAATCTAATGCCGGTTTTCAGACAGGTTATAGAAATGCGGAACAGAAGTTTTAAACACGATATTATGGTCTTATGCGTTCATGCGCGATGTCAAAAATTGAAGCTTGCAAGTGCTGTAGTAAGATATTGATACCTACACAAATGCCACACCACCCCCCCGCCGCAGCGGCTTGGAAACCGTTCCAAATAATGTTCTTCTATGAGTAGGTCATGGATATAATAATTATATCCATCAGTTCCTTCCAAATTCAATTTTTCTCATCAGAAAAGACAACATGCTGCCATTGGGTAGACCACGTCATATTCGCCCGGCCAAAATTAATGCGTATTTCTTTTCTCAGCATATCGACTGGTGACTTTTTTTTTACATTCTGTTTCTTTAAGTAATTAACTTTCTCAATTGCTCTTTAGACCGTTGATAAGCTCGTCCTAACACTGATTTTAACCCTAATCTTGGTGGTCGATTCGTGGGAATTCAAAGCTTCTCGAACTAATGCTCTTCTATTTCCTTCTGAAATCACTTGATTATTGCCGCTTATATAGTTTTTTCCATAGTTTTCCCTATTTGTAAGAAAATTGCCACTTAGTTTTGTGTTTTTTCCTGATTTTTCAGCAATTTTATGGTTGCATAGTCTAGATTCAAAGTATGCCTCAATCTTTGATTTTCAACCAAAGATAAAACTGTTTCTTTACCCATACTATAAATATATTGAATACTTTGAGCTTCACAAAAAATTTGGTGAGTGTAATTGCCAAAATAAGCAAGATAATTACAATTGCATTTGGGGGCGCTAATCTGATGACGCAAAATAAGTGCACACATTTTTTGCGAAAATTGAGCAGAATAGAAAATAAAACATAACGGGTTTTCACTCGCGCTTTTTTTTGGTATGAGAGACATCTCATATGATGATAATGAAATAAAAAAAAAACCAAGAAGTTACGTGCAATAGGCAAAGAGAAAAACGTAAAAGAAAATGAGTGTAAGGGGGGCGCTAACCTGATGACGCGAAGTGTATATGTATGTACGTATATTTACATATATACTTTCAATTATCGATAACTGCAAAACTGGAACAAGCCAATGGGAACTATTTCACTTGCCTAGTTTATCGTCTCTTCATGGTTTTTCGTTATTGTTATTTTACTTTTACTGCTATTGTTGTTTTTTATTTATTATGCCTGTAAATATATATATATGTGTGTGTGTGTGTGTGTGTGTGTAACGTTGCTCATTACGTGCTACACTCCCAATTACTCAATATTTGCATACCAATTCCAAATTCCGATTTAGACTATGGTGACTGGCCTGGGACCCGCGGACCTGGGGCCTCTTTGTATTTTAATTACTTTTGGGTGCGCTTATCTTCAAGTGTCTATGATTTAATTATGAGCATTTTGATTATAATTATGACGCACACGCAGATACATCATATATATATTTATATATGCATATGTGTATATTTTTAGACATCTATCTACCTTTACTTGGCATATATACTTGCATATATTTACGCTTAGTAATTGGGGCAGGTTGGTGGTTTTTTTCAGATTTTTACTTTTTTAGATAGTTCCAATTTTACTTGGAAGTAATTTTGATATACTATATATCATAAACACACATATGCACGCAATTGTATCTAGCTATGAGTTCGTTGTAATCATAGATAAAAAGACAACAACAAAATAAGCAGAGAGTGATCAACTATGAAATACCCTGCAATTATACAAATTATTACATTCCATTCCTTTCCATTTTCCATTGTATGAAAATTTGTTTATATATGTATAAATAAATTAATTTCACATATACAATATGTACATACTCGCATTATATATTCTCAAGTATAAATATACATATAATCTCTTGTTTAGGTCAATCTTTCAACAAAATATTTTTCCACATTTTCAACTATAGATAGTAAGTATCGACATTATAGTTTATCTGAATATTGCATATATTATCTATTTATTTTATATTATCAGCATTAGAAATGATCGTTTTATTATAGCTCTCGTTTCTTGCAATCATTTCCTGTAATATAAATTTTATTCAATATATTTTCCTAATTATTCTTGCTTATCTCCACCCTTCCGTTCACAAATTACAGGGTATATAGTAATCAAATAAGTCACTGTGAGCTCACTACGCCCATTACCCCATTACGCACTCAATTTCATTTTGATTTTGATTTTACTGCGCATTAATGCGATAAATATATTTATTATGTAGCATTAGTGTTCGCTTATTATGTTTACTACTCATTAGGCCAGCCATTGGGGCCTGGCCCCAAATTTGGCCTGGCTGACTTAAAGTCCTTAAACTTTTCCAATCAACGAGCTTATTGGGGTCTAGCAGCTATTGCCAAGCAGAGCTAATTGATAAAGAGCCAAATGCTAAAGCGCCTCAGTTGCTGCATTAGTCAGCCTCTTGCTGGTGTTGCTTTTGTTGTTGTTGTTGTCGAATTTAATTAGACAATGTGATCATTTTTGTTATGGTTAAATATGTATTTGTCAACATTTAACAAATGCCAGCTGATAACACTTGAAGATCTGATCAGCTTAACTATTCGAATAGCCGAGACCATGAGTCGTCGTCGTCGTCTAAAGGTGCGACTGAGATTGGGATTGAGAATGAGATTGACATTGAGAGTGAGAGTGAGAGAGAGAGAGAGAGGGAGAGAGAGAGAGAAAAAAAGAGATAGAGACAGAGAGAGAGAAAAAGAGAGAGAGAGAGAAGAGAGAAAAAGAGAGAGAGAGAGACAAAAGAGAGAGAGAGAAAGAGAGAAAAGAGAGAGAGAGAAAAAAAGAGAGATAGAGAGAGAGAGAAAGAGAGAGAGAGAGAAAAATAGAGATAGAGAGAGAGAGGCAGAGAAAGAGTGAGAGGATGATCGGATGGTTGGGCTGCTCGGGCTGGTTGTCTGATCAGTCATATGTGTTTTTTGGGGGCTTATGGGCTGGGGCTGGGCTGGTCTAGTATATATAAATTCCTCTTTTGTACACATAAACAATGAGGAATATGAGCGCGCTGAGACACACATGAATTTCTAGAATTGATATGAATGATGACGCCGACGCCGACGCCGACGGTGATGGCAATGGCGATGGCGTTGGCGACGCCAGCTGCGGCAGCGACGCCAACGGCTACTGGCGAGTGAAACTCTGCTTCGGCAAGCCGATTTTGCTGGCTAACAAGCGCGCACCGGCAAACGCAGAGCCATTCGTTAAACACCGTGCGAGGTTAAAGCAACAACAGCAGCCAAACGAGCCACTCAACTCATCCATCAGCTCAACCACCCAACCACCCACTCAAACACAACAACAAAATGGGCAGCTGTTGCTCAAAGGATTTGGATGATAAGCGCTCATGGAGTCCCGAAGAGACTAAAAATGGCGTAAGTTATTTACAGAAAGAAAAAAAAAGAAATAAATAAAATGAGAAATGTATTTAAACATTTTCAACATCTGTATATATATTTGTATGTATATATATATATATATAGAGCACCACATCGACTATCATAGCACAGCCCATGGATGATGTGGGCAGCACAGGTGTCTTTACGTTAACGCGCCCAACAGCAGCAGCAGCAGCAGCAGCAACAACAACAACAACAGGGAAACAACAAGAACAACTCACAGGAACAACAACAGCAGCCAATGCTGTTGATCCTGATGTCAAGCAATAGCTGCAGCAAACATTCCAAAAACCTTAACCAAATATCAATTTGCTTAGCCTTTTTTTTTTGTTTTTTACTTAACTCCATAATTTTTGTTAAATAAGCAATAATAATAACGTATATATACATACATATATATTTACTGTGTATACATTTTTTTGTTTCGTTGCTCAAGAAACATTTGTGACATGTGTGTTTGCACGGCAAGAGGAAGAGAGGAAGAGAGTCGAGAGTGCGTGCATGCATGCATGTGTGTGTGTGTGTGTCTGTGCCTGTGTCTGTGTGTGTATATATATGTGTTTTATAATTAATAATTCGTCTTATTGCTGACAGCTAAGGAAAATGAAACACAACAAAAAGTACCGTTTAGATGCAAGTGATAAATCGTTAGACTGTCTGCGCGGCATCTTTCAATTCGTCCGGCTACGATATCAACGAAATAAAAACCAAATCCATAAATAATGGCCAGGAATGAAAGAGAGAGAGAGAGACGTAAATGTTACCGGCGCGATAAGAACCGTTACCGCGCCGCGCCATGCCACGCCACGCTACGCCCCAGCCCACCCCGCCTACCACAGCTGAGCTGCACACGCATTCGCGCATTGCTAGGCGATGACATCAGAGACTGCTGCGGCTGCTGATGCACAGAGAAGAAAACTTTAAGAGCGCCAAGTGAGAGTGAGAGTGGGACAAGGAAAGAGAGAGAGAGAGAGAGAGAGAGCAGGAAACACACACACACGCAGCGGTGCTAAAAGTTTTGATTTCTTATGACTCAGTTTCTTGCAACGGGAATTTTCGCGCAATTTCTTTGGCCTGGAGCGAAAATGTAAAGCAATTTCAAAACAACCATATAAAATATTTAATCGACAATACATATACATATGTATATGTGATGACTAAGACGCCACCTGTTGGCTGGCACGTGCGGTCTCACATAAATGCACTTGCTTTTGCACTCCATAGGAAAGTAATCTAGCAAAACAAAATATTCCAATGCTATCTTTAGACCGTTTGCATAAATCTACACACACACACACAAACACACACACATGTATAGTATATATTTTATTTATTCAATTATTAATTAGCCTCTGCGAGATGTAAAACATGTACTGTCAGTTAGTATGCAAATAGTAAAACAGTAATTGGAATTGTTTTTTTTTTTTTTCTTTATAAATTCATAGATTTGTATGTGCTCAGAAATAATTATAGAATGGAGAGCGCACTTCCTGCTTCAGCAATCAATCAAAAGAAAACTTAGTTACATATACATATATACTATATACATATCTTATCAATAAAAATGCAATTGGCAGCAAGAGTTTCTAATAATAATAGAATCATCTTATACAATAAAATATAATTAATGCAAATAAATTATTCAAGTTGCATTTTAGTGGTCTGACTGCATTTTAATTATGTGCTAATTGAATTTCAGTTTAAATTGTCAAAACCGTTGACAACGTTGCCACCTAGACAAAAAACAGCTGTCCCAAATGAAAGTGCGATTTAAAAGCTCAGCCTAAAAGCATGCAACATAAAAGCTTTAAATTCTAAACAAATGTTCTGCGTTAACTTAAAAAAAAAAGAAGTTCACTAAAGATAAGATTGTACACAAAATATATATATTACACATGTTCACATAAATGTATGAGAGTATAAGAGAGACAGACGGAAAGAGAGAGGAATAGCGAGACTAGATGATGGCAGAAAAATTGCCAGCCCATCTATTTGTGTGCATTATATGATATATACAATATGTATACATGTATATATGTATTATTCCATATAGAAAGAGAAATAAGTATTAGTAAATCAGACAACCCAATAAAACCAAACCAAACCAAACGACGCAAAAAAACGAATTAAAGAAAATGCAAAACAAGGGAACGATATGCATATGTATATATGTACATCTATGTGAGTGTGAGTGTGAGTGTGGCTATGTACAAGTACATGTATAGATAAAAACAATTTGAACATCAACAAGAACGACCCTAAAGTCAAACGAGGAACCAACTCAATGACTACTCGCTGGGGATCGTCGATTGTGAATGGGGTAGCAGGGGAAGAGAGACAAATAAACAGAGAGGGAGAGCGAGCGAGAGAGAGAAAGAGAGAGAGAGAGAGCGGGGCCACTGATAGAAAACAGAAATTGGAACGCACCATCGCCCCCGCCGACTGTTAGGTTCCGTGTTCGTTCATGATTCCACGATCGGCAGACGGCAGCAAAGTTAAGTTCTCTGTGCATTGTCAGTGCAAACGCGACCCTCTGACAAGCAGGCAGCCAGGCGACCCAGCGACGGATCCACAACATATCTAAAGTACAATTCAATCAATTAATTAATTAGCTAAGCCAAAGCTAAAAGAGCGAGCATGAAGCACAGCGTTTGCCTGGCCATCGGCCTGCTGGCACTGCTGGCTGCCACCTGCTGCACAGCTCTGCCCATGGCCAACGAGGAGGAGCTCGTCTCGCTGGACTCCATGGAGCAGGGCCAGTCAGGCCAAGCACAACCACAGGAGCTGCCGCACATCTTGAAAATAGCGCCGAAACAACAGACGAACGAGGAGCCGGAGCCAATCAAGAGCAACGTCTACGACACCATCGTCGAGCAGCTGCGCGCAGCGGGCGTAAACACGTCCGAGCAGAAGCCCTTGAACACGCTCAGCTACAAGGAGCTGACACGCCTACTCGCCCTGTGGCACATGGCCCAGGGACGCAACTACTACGAGGCCGGCAACAATCGTGCCCAGCGTGAGGCAGCCACAGCCCAGCCGATTCCCAGCTAGAGCAAAGGGTGAGAGCAGAGGCTAAGCTTCTGCCGGGATCAGTTATATAATTTTTTTTTTTTTTTTAAATCTTTGTTTATTATTACTAAGCTGCATTTTCCATAATCGAATGTAAAACGCGTTGCACTTAATAAAAAAAAAAAAAACTAACGAAAGAGAAGAATTGAAGAATTCAATAAATTAGAGTTGTGTGTGTGGCTTTTCGCTTTTGGACTCCTTGTGGCTGTAGCTGCTTCTGTTGCTGCCACTGCCGCTGCCGCTGCTGGTGGTGCTGGTCACGACTAGGCGTGGCATTTGGCGTCGCTGCAGCTGCTTGGCTATGGGCGGCACAAAGAGATCGTGCTTGATCAGCGTGCAATCGGCGTCGTGGTAGATGCGACGATTGTTGTCCCACTTGAAGGCGGCCATGCAGTACGAGAGCAGCCAGCCGCCAAACAAGGAAACGACGAAGCCAATGGGTGCATACCACATGTAGCTAATGCGGTAGAGATAGAAGTACGAGGATTCGGGCTCGGGCTCAGGACTCTCTCTGAAGTGTGCAGTCTCGGTTTGCAGGAGGAGTATGTCAGCGGCATAGCTGCGATCAGCCGGGCAGCCGGCAATGGACATCTCCAGGCTGGGTATGGGCGGCTTTGGCTGACCGAACCCAATCCAAAAGGAAACGGCTAGCGACAGCAGCAGCCCGCCAATGGCGCCTTTCTGATTGGCCGACGTCACGTACATGCCCAGCGTGAAGAGCCCCAGCAGGGGCCCGCCAATGATGCCAAAGATGGAAAGAGCCGCCTGCAGCAGGCCACCAATGGAGCCGGCCAGGAAGGCCATGCCAATGCAGAGAGCGCCAAAGAAGGCCGACAACAGCTTGGAGTACCACATGGTCTGATGATCCGTGAGCGTGCGTTTTCTACAGCTGTGCATCAGTGGCTTCAGGTAATCCTCCAACGTGACAGCAGCCAGCGAACTGATCGCTGTGCTGATCGTCGACAGGCTGGCACAGAATATGCCGGACACAAAGAGACCCGCCAGTCCAGTATAGCCGCCCATGGTGTCCACCACAAATAGCGGCATGATCTGGTCCCGCGAGCTGACGCGTCCAGCCAACAGGGGATCACAGTTGCGGTAGTACCAATAGATGCACAGACCCGAGAAGCAAGTGCTGAGGCTTAGCAGGCACAAGATGGGCAAACACCACCAGAGAGCGGAGCGCGCGGATCGCAAATTGCGTACGGCCAACAGCCGTTGCACTTGCGCTTGATTCACGCCGTATAGGCTCAGGTAGGTTGCGCTGCCGCCGAGCACCTGTGTGAACCAGGAGTGTCGAGTTGTGGGATCTACGCTAAAGTTGGTGAAGTCAATGCGGCCGGACTCCTGCGCTGCCTTCCAAACGACATCAAAGCTGCCGGCCTTGATGCCCGTGTAGATGATCACACTGAAGACAGAGACAAACATCAGGATCGACTGGTATATGTCCGTTATGAGCACCGCCTTCATGCCACCCATTGTGGCATAAATGGTGCAGACCATGCCCACAATCAGCACGGAGAAGATCTGATTGAGACCCGTGACTGCCTCCAGCGCCAGGGCGGGAGCATAGACCACAATGCCCATGTAGAGTATCATCTGGAGCGAGAAGGTCACCGAGGCCACCAAACGGGTGGCATAGCCAAAGCGCAGCTCCAGATATTCATAGACGCTGGCCGTTTTCAAGCGATAAAATACTGGCAGTATTAGATAGGCGGCAACGGGCGTTGACAGCACATACGAGATATTGATGATGACGAACATGGTGCCATACTGATAGATCTCCATGGAGACGCCAAGTATTGTGACCGCCGACATGAAGCTGGCCATCAAGCTGAACGCCACTGGCGTCACTCCCATGGAACGATCAGCCAGAAAAAACGCCGTAGTATTGCTCTGTTTGTTGTCCACATACCGATAATAAACACCGATGCCTATAGATATGATGAGGACCACGGCCAGGATGGCATAGTCCCAAGCTCCCAGCGTACTCATTGCACAGCTCTTTACTCTCTCTCCCTCTTTGTCTCTTCTTCTGATAAGATGGCAACCCAGTTACGGAGCGATCGCGAGCGAGAGAAAGCGCACGCGCGCACCTAGGCCGTGAGATCTGCCCAGTGCAGATCTGGAATTCGTTATAGTATGTACACACAGACGCTTAGTTTCCTTGCCCCTTAATCGAAAGACAACCAATATTTGCTTTCAGATAAGCGCCAGCGATAATACCCGACAATGCGAAATACATATGTGGAGCAGGCGCGAGTCCAATTTACTCTTGAGATTCGGCTTGTTTCGGTTTAGTTGGCAGCGCGCGACTTCAACGATTGCCGGCCGTCAATGAAATGACCCAACTACTCTATACAAACGCCAACCGTAAGCTCGGCGCTTCAGCGGCTAAAAGGAAACAGCGCTGCCCTGACGCGTTTTTTATTGCCTCCATTGGCAGAGAGATAGCAGATTAGCTGACGACAATGTTCATTGCCAGCACTTGGGAGCGCACGCTGTGACCGAAACGCACTGCGATCAGCATGAGGACTATAAGGGGGCTGTTAAACAATTAAACTAACCGACACACACACACACGCAGACATTCGCATATGTATACAAGAGAGTCTAAATATGAAGTGGACCACTCATATCAAAAGTGACTCTAATCATATGAGCTGCACTGTACTTAGAGTGCAATTGTTACATTCAGTTTTTGCTATATGACAATGTAAGTTAATTAACAAGGCCTCATCATGAAATAAACTAAAGTTATTTCAGTTCGCACAGCTATTTCTAGGAAATACCATGTCTAGCTGGAGTTTAGTTCAAAACAGCCAACAGCTTTATTGTTGCCAATAAACTGATAATGCTTAATCGAAATAGAAACGAGCCGTGCATAGTACTTAGAAAACAAGTTTTGTACTTAATTGATATTAAGATCGCATGACTGTAGGCGAATGTATGTAAGTAACTGCTTGATAAGCGATTTGTGTGTTTTTGATTTAAAGTTTTATTGATATTAATGCCAAAGTCTCGCCGTTTATCACAACGACTGCTGCTGTATATCTTTATAGGCAGGCGACCGGCCGAGCAGATGACGACAATAAACTCACGATTTATGCGATAAGCAGGTAAAACTAACCAGTGCTAAATTTTCAACCAATCAGCGATCAGACATTGCTTTCTTTACCCCATATTTCATAAAAGATTTACAATCGACTTGAATATACAATCGAAAAGGAGTAATCATTATAAATGAACGACAGACCTTTCGCCAATCAATATAACATGATCTTTAGTAAATATCCTTCTATTGCTTAATATAATCTCATGGTTTCATCACATAAATTATAAACAAATGCGTCAGCACAAACTAATTCAAGCTTATTAAATGGTATTGACTATTTTCTACGATCATTATATATACATATATAAGTTATGATATATATATTTTATATGTTACTTACGGTCACTTGATACCAGCCAGCACCATTGGGCACTAGTTTGCCAAATTTACCACGTGGAATTGGTGAGCCGCGACGACGCGAGCTTGGGCGATCCTGCAAGCAAATTAATTCGAATTTATACCCGAAATATTCTATGTAATATGATGCAAATGCGGTATACCTTGATAGTGGTTGTCATTTCGCTCATATCATCGTCCTCGTCCCAGCGACGGACATCCTGTAAGCGTAGCTTCACATCACTTTTGTGTGGAAACTGTGATGTCTTGAAGCTGACGCGGCGCTTGTTGCGATCCTTGCGACGCTGATGATCATCATCTGCAAATGGGACGCAGAATTGTGTTTGATAAGAATCGATTAGTAATTAAGCACATGAACAACTTACCATCATAATCTTTCAAAGCAGAAAAACGTGATCCACCACTGCCGCCGCCCCCGCTGCCGCTTCCATTGCCAGCATTGTTGTTATAACGTTGACTGCCGCCGCCACCGCCGCGCTTAGGCATTTCGCACACTCACGCTCACACTCCCACACAAACACACAAGATATTGGGGGGGGTGTAGAGCGAATATTACCAGTCTTAAAAATAATAAACAAGGTCTTTTTTTGCGTGCACACACGTTGCAACTGTTGTTGCTGTTCTTGGTTTTGTTGTTGTATTAGTTACTTCGATTGTCCGTCGATATGTGCAAATATGCAAAGCTCACAGCACGATAAACACAACAAAAAAGAGAGTCCGTACCATACGTACGCGGGCCGTTGCTAGCAATTAATATTGCACGACAAAAATAAATAAAATTAAAGAGCGCGAATTTGCAACGCAATTTTATGAAACTCTCAAAATATGTATTTGTATTTGTGTGAATGACAGATGTCATGACAATGGCGTACTGCTATTTTACAGCACTAGATTGTGCTCAAATTTAGTTTTTAGTGCTGTGCAATTCGCATTCAAACGTTGACCAGGTGGCAACACTGCCACACAAAAATACAACAAGCAAAATTCATTTACTCCCAATTGTTTTTGAAAAGATCATTTGGTAAATTTTTGTAAAGTGTAACCATGTCAAGTCGAAAGTGCCCGTTTCACGCAAGGGTATCCGAAACGGAGGACCAACTAGTGCAAAGCTTGGGCGACAAACTGCATCATTGCTCGACTGAAGTTCTGAAAAATCGTCCTACCTTTCGAGTTGGCATCTCAGGTGCGTATTTTAATGCGGATCGCATTACTGTATTGTGCATTTGTATAAATGCATGCGTATGTATGTGATAAGCTCTACTTAAGGTGACCTTGCGGTGCACATTGACATTGATTCTCAAAGTCAATGGAGTAATAATGTGTTACATTTACTACGATCAACAGGTGGCTCGCTTGTACAGCTCTTGACCCGCGCTCTAATCAGCCGCAAAATAGATACAACTAACTGGAAATTCTTCTTCTGCGATGAACGCTATGTCCCGGACGATGATGCAGAGTCCACCTTCAATGCATACAGAACTGAAATGAATGCCAAGCTACCCAACATTGTGGAGAGCCAACTAATCAAAGCTGACACGGCACTCTCCTTAGATGCCTGCGCCTGTGACTATGCGGCTCGCATAATCGACGAATTTGGCTCATCTTGTCCGATATTTGATTTGTTGCTATTGGGCATGGGACCAGATGGACATACATGCTCCTTGTTTCCGGGCCGGTCTGAATTCCAGATACACGCCGAACAGCTTGTCATTCCGATTCGTGATTCACCAAAGCCGCCACCAGAGCGAATAACATTTACACTCACGCTAATCAACAATGCGAACGATGTGGTCTTTGTTGTCACTGGCGCCAGTAAAGCGGACGTTGTAAAGGTGTGAAAAATCCGAATTATTAATGTATATATTATATTATTTATAATTTGTTTCCTACATTACAGAGCGTATTCATAGACGGGGATAGAAGTTTTCCTTCTGCTTGTGTAGAGCCTACACATGGAAAACTGACATTGATCATTGATAGAGCTGCAGCTGCAAAAATTTTAAGTCAGAAATGTGGCTGTTAGAAATAAATTCCATAAAGTTCTTGAGTGCAATTGTTAAATTTGATAAAATAAAATTTGTTTTTGTTTACAAATTTGCGTTTGATGCGCGCTATGGTGGTTTTATACAACACTAATGAGTCGTTTGATGTTGCCACTGTATTGTCAACACAGACAAGTGGTGCCAGACCTTCGTGAATTTTTATTCAAGTGAAAGAAAATGTAAAATAAACCCCTTAAATAATTTACAAAACACCCACAAAACGCAATGCCGCAACAATAATAGAAGTTATTTGATTGTAGCAGATTCTTTAACTAAAATCCCAATGCCTGACACCTACGGCCAGTTCGATGCGGAGCGCGTCTGCCGTGTTTGCCTGCGCGAGGTGGGCGATTTCTACTTCATCTACGATGAGGCGCCCGTGGAGCAGGGCGCGAACATTGCACAAATACTTAACGAGTGCACGCGGTACACCTGCGAGCGCTATGATAAGATGCCCCATCACATGTGCGATACCTGCATCAAGGCCGCCTGCCAAGCGTATCGCTTCAAGCAGGACGCCGAGAAAGCATACCGTTCGCTCGTGGCTATGCTGGGACGCACACCTGTGACCAAGCCCAACAGCAACGATGTCTGTACCCAGACTGACCAGTTACCAATGCTGCCGTGCGGGATCTGTAACGAAAAATTTCTAAACATTCTGGAATTACGCCTGCATCGCAGTCGCCAGCACATGAAGACGGAGGAGCTGAAGTGCAGGCTCTGCGGCGAGCAGTTTCAAAAGCTTCGTCAGCTGCGTAACCATCTCACCGAACAGCATGATCAAAAGTCACCAGATTCGCCGTTACTACGTAGGCGTCTGGAATGTCGGGTTTGTCAGCGTGAGTTCTCACGACGCGATCATCTTATACGCCATATGCGAAAAGTCCACGATGTGCCGCGGCAGCAGGAGCTGGAGGCTGCTGCGCCGTGGACGCCTAACGACGAGACAACTATGCAAAGCGGCGATGAGCTGGAATCGGCCGCTGTCTTATTCAATGATCCGGCTGTCTGTTCGGACAACGAAAATAACGAGAGTGGCTATCAATGCAATACTACGAATCCTATATCAAGCAATGAGGATTCTGGCGATGATGAGGTGCATGCCGAGGCTAAAGAATCGCTCTGGCTGCACATCAAACCAGAGCCGGAAGCAGAACTGGAGCCCGAGCTGGAGGCAGAGGCAGAGGCGGAAGTTGAGCAAGTGAATCGCGATAGGCGCAAAAAGAAAACCAATTCAAAGGTTGCAGCTCACACAGATGCGGAGGAGGAGCTCGAAGACGTCAGCAAGCAGAAGCCAGCTTCGAGCTCATTTTCAACAGAGGTAAAAGGTGAGTCAACCTCGAGTATGAACATAAATCTTATGACACATAGACACTCTTACTTTGTGTGCTTGTACAGAGGAGCCCCTTGCCGCCGGCGGTGAGCAGCAGTTATCCATTAAGCAAGAGCGGCAGCGCGCTGACAGCATCAAGGTGGATGAGGACTATGAGATGGAGGCCGCAACAGCAGATCTGTTTCACAGTGCCGACGAGGAAGAAGACGCTGACGAGGAGAGCGAGCTTGATGAAGAGGACGATGAAGCTGAGAATGAGGAGGAAGCGAATGCTGAGTTCGATGAGGACAATCCGAAGCTGACTCAAGTGGAGATCGTGCGGGAGTATTTGCAAAAGCCGACAAAGGGCAAGCAGCGACGTCGACGACGCAAACAGACGCAAAGCGAAACGGAAGCAAATCCAGAGAATCGTTGCGATGTCTGCTTGCGCACCTTCTCCCGCCATTGCCATTTGCTGCGCCACAAGTTGTCCCATCTGGAGAAAAAGCCGCACAGCTGTCCGCATTGCCCCAAGGCTTTCGCGCGCAGCGATCATTTGAAGGCGCACGTCCAGAGCCTGCACGGCAATAAGGAGCACAAGTGCAGTCTCTGCGATGCGGCCTTCACCCGTGCCGATGCCCTCGATCGGCACAAGATGAGCAAGCACAATGGCGAGGGTCTCGACGCCAGCAATGAGCTGAAGCTCCAAATGAGCGAGCACACGTGCGAGTACTGCTCAAAGCGTTTCTCCAGCAAGACCTACCTGCGCAAGCATACGCTGCTCCACACGGAGTTCCTATACGCGTGCAAGAGCTGCGACGAGACGTTCAAGGAGCGGCAGCAGTTGCGCAGCCACGAGAAGACCCACACGGGTCAGCGGAACTTCCTCTGCTGCATTTGCGGCGACAGTTTCGCACGCAACGACTATCTGCGCGTCCACATGCGACGACACAATGGCGAGAAGCCATACAAGTGCCGTTACTGCATCAAGGCATTTCCACGCGCCACAGACCTTAAGGTACACGAGCGGTAAGTGAGCCAGAGCGCACTAATCCCAACTGTTTGGCAGACTGTCGTCTGATCTGATTAATGACATTGGCCCTCACAGGTACCACACGGACACCAAGCCCAATCTGTGCAACACCTGCGGCAAGAGTTTCCATCGTGCCTACAATTTGACCATACATATGCGCACCCATACGGGCGAACGTCCGTACAAGTGCGATCAGTGCCCCAAGAGCTTCAGCCAGAGCAACGATCTGAAGGCCCACATACGACGGCATACGGGCGAGCGGTACAAGTGCCCCCACTGCGATGCCTACTTCCTGCAGCTCTATCACATGCGCAACCATTGCCTGAGCGCTCACAATAAACACATTGAGACGAAGACGGGTCGGCTGCAGCGCACCGGCCTGCTGGACGAGCCCAATAACTCGCATCTGACCACGGTTGTTATGCCGCCTGCACGCTACCAGCAGTCGACGCCCGATCCGCAGCCAATGGCCACTGTTACGACCCAGCTGCCAGCGGCGATTGCCACGCCCATAATGCATTCGCCGGTGGCCTATAGTACAACGTCGCCAGTGCCGGTGCAGGTTCCCGTGCCCGTATCCGTGGCCGTGCCGCTGTCCAATGCAAGCGGATTCGTTGGTGCAACGACAAATGCAACGAGCACAACTGCGACGGCACCATTTGGCACCTTCAGCATAGCGCCTGTCGTGATGGGTAAATTCTCATGTTCGATTTGCTCATATTTACAGCAGCTAATGCTATCTTTCTCTCTCTCGCTCTCTCTTTCTCTATTTCCCTTTCAGCGCATCTGATGTACAATCATGGCGGGAACAGTCAACAGAGCAATGCAAGCAAATAGCCGTCGTTGCCCCATAAATTAATCAAGCAATTCCAATCTCAAAATAAAAAGTTGACCTTGTATATATGTATGTAAAATATATAAAAAGAAATCGCGCCTTAAATTTTCAGTTCTCTTTGCACTAAGCGATCTCTACTGTAAATATATTTTAATATATATGATTATGCTAATTATGCTAAACCAGTGAAATCGAAAGGCAAACTAACTAGATAATTGTTTAGATTATAATAGTTAGATACATAAACGTATTTCCGTTCAGAATCGGATGAAATATTTAAATACTAGTTAATCTAAACAAAATCTAAAAAACAAGCTTGTATAACTTATAGACATAGCTATAGCACTTTATGATCTAACAAAATCTGTAAATACATTAAAGAAAACAAAAACAGTTGAAAAGCATGAATATTAGTTTTATTTATAGATTTAATATTGAACAAGCCTTAGTACCTAAATCATTTCATATTGGTTACTTATTCAACATTGTTCTGCCCCAGACGTGTGTAGGATTTCTCGATATTCTGTTCTCCAGCTAACCGAAACGGTATGGGATAATCGGATGGGAATTACTAGTCTTACGACTATGTATCTGGTCTTTCCCAGTTACTTCTCGATATTGGTATGCCTTAGTTTACTTGTGACAATATATATGTGGATATATGTATATAGATCGCAAAACTAAATTCAGCAGATAAAACATAAATATATATGATCTTAAGACACTTCAATTGCTTAAGAGATACTAAGATTATTAAGTCAAAAATATCGGATTAATACATTTGAATAGTTATTCCTCTTAAAAATTTAATTTTTGTTCAGGGTTTCGCTTAGATATTAATCGATATGCATAGAAATCCGTTTATATGTATATATAGAAAAGCATTTAAATAAATCTCGGAAATACTTCAAAAAGTTACAACAATAAAGTAAAATCAATAAAACTTAAAATATCAAGTAGAATTTAAATGGAATAAGTACATTCTATATTAATGAGCTCATCTCATTTCTTATGCTTGAGCTCCCACATTCTGCTACGTCTGGGCTCTGGCAGCTCCACCGCTTGCGCAAGGTCCTCGTTCAGCTCCTTGCGCGCGTACTGTTTCTGGTCTTTGTTGGCCACGAAAGCAGAACGCGGTACGGTCAATGCACGTGGCAGTTCGGACGAACGAACTTTGGGCGAAAACTTATTGTAATTGACGATATCCTCGGGATCTGGCTCTTGCTCCTTTTCCTGCTCCTGTTCATCGCTGCTAGATGGATATAAAATAGTGGGTATGTCAAATTTACTGCGCCGTTTCTTGCCGGATTGACCCATGCTACGACGCCCCACACCCGAGCTGCTGCGCATAGTATTCTGCAACACGAGCACCTTCTTCATGGGCGACCTTTTTGGCTTCTGTTGGACGGCAGCTAGTCGCTGGTTGGGCTTCTGCTGGACGACAGCTAGTCGCTGGCTGGGCTTTCGCATTGCTGGCGACGGCTTCAACGTGCTCAATGCTCTCATCAGACTCCGCTTGGCAGTTGGAGTCTCTTCCCTGGAACTGTTTTCGCCGTTGGGTAGCTTCCTTTTATGCAGATTGCCTGTGGTCTTGGCTGCGGAGCTCGCCATCGAGGACAACTGCAGAGTGGACGGAGTCTTGCGCAACGACATCGTTGAACTGGACATTGCGGACATATTCCTCAACGACAGGGGGGTTCGTGGAGCCGTTGACCCAGGTGTTGCAGGTGGCAACATTTTGCCGTTGGTTGAAGCTCCTCCTTGCTTGCGCGCAGAGCTCTGTTGCTCCTTGGCCTGGCGAAGGCGCACCCAATCGTTGGCCATACGATCCAGTATATTCTCGCCGTAGACCAGAAATGGGCACTGATTACGCATCTCATACGCTTTCACCAACTCTGTGATCTGTTGCTCAATCTTTGGCAATTTGGTCCCAATTGCCTTCCTTTCGCGCTCCTCCTTAAGTAGCTGACCACCACGATTGTTGAATCGATTCGGATCGTTGGCCTTGGCCTCAAGGGCCTCCATTCGGGCCCAAAACTCAGAGCGACTCGCAAATAGCTCAAATATCTCTTTGTTGCTAGTGTAAAAGCTCTTCAGGTCATCCAGCTCGAGCTCATGCAGCTCCAGCAAGTCCTCGTTGTACCACTCATTAAAAAAATTGGAGAAGCGCTTTCGTTCCTGTTCCGACTTCAGTGTCAAGTCCCACCACTTCTTGATCTCCAGGCGCAGTTGCTCGATAAAGGTCTTCAGATTCTTGCGACGCAGCGCCTGGCAGCGCTGCAGTTCCTCGCGCAACACATCGAATGTCGCTTGAGTATAATCCACGGCAGAGCGCACTCTGCGCATGATATACTCATCCGACTCCTGCAGACGCTCCCACAGCTCGTAAATCTTGCCGCGCATGTCGTCGATTTGTTCGCGCATTTCTTGAACCTGTGCGGCAAACTCCTTTTGCATGAGTCTGAGCTTCTCTAAGATATTCGGCGTGAGATGCTGATTCGCCTGACTAAGCAAATGCTCCTCTGCGGGAGTGGTCGGCATTATGGAGAGTAGCATCATGTCCTGCTTGATCTGACTACGCAGCTGAAAGAGCTCCTCCAGGCGGCGCTCGCGCACTGCCCGCAGATGCTCGAGATGCTTGCAAAAGGATGACATTTCCTCTGGTTTTGGAAGTGGATCGGCGAGCAGTGGCAGCGGACACTCACCTAGCTCTTCGCAGAGCTGATCTTGCTGCAGCAGCAATTCGCAAATTTCCGCACGACGTTCGCGCAGCTCCGCTCGCAGATGTTCAATGCTCTTGTCCAGCGTTTGCAGCCAAACATCCAGCGGCATTTCCTCGGGTTTTTCGCCAATATCCAAGTTTTTGTGCAAGAGGCGACGTATGTCTGCGGCCTCCTCAAGCAGTTCACTGATGTTGCTCATTATTGCCTTTTCTTTCTCATTTGATTCGGTCAGCAGGTCGCAATAGAAATTTTTCACGCGGTCTCCCAACTTGTCCATCAATTCCAGACAATATGTCTCATCAAACATGCTTGTCCATTTGCTAAATAGGCGATCGACATGATCACTTGTAATAGCTACGATAGTTGACTTTGCTGTTGACTGTTCGGCCATATTTATGTATTTAGAATTTTAACTTTTACAGGAATTAACAACAAAAAAAAAAATAAACAGTCTAAAGGTGACGCCAACATCAATTGAATATTTCGGTAAATTTGAAAACACAACTTGACGTTGCCACATTTAAAAAATACTATTTCTTTGATCAGAAACAGTATTAAAATGTTTGAAAGCTGGCAACGCAATACAATTATGCGAGCCTTTTTTAAATACTGCATTATTATTATTCATGTTTGTTCAACTTATTCGAAAAGTCTACAAATATTATTTAATATTTCCTAGATGGAAGTCGTTAATAAGTAAGGTAGAAGATATTTTGCAGCACTTGCTTCCAGGGCTACAAAAAATACTGTGTGACTGTCTTAGTACATGAAATACGAACTCATAACGTCAGTATTTTAACGACTTCGTAAGAGGGTCACATAGCTACAGCTTTCAAACTTTGCAATTTCCCTTTCCATCTAGTAGGCAGGCTGTCAAAAAAAGTTAACTTGCTTGCACAAATTTGTAGAATTTCATTCAGTTACTGCTGAGCATCGAGTTTAAATTATAAATTTAAATATTTATGAAAATTTTCTAAATTCGTAAAAATGGCCGATAATTCAGCAGCAACCGAAACTAAAGCTATGTCTCTAGAGCTGATTGACAAACTGGCATTACGTGTTAAGCATTTATATAGCGAATTATCAAATACATCATATGCCAAGGAGGACTCCCTTGAGTACGAAATTCAGTCACTGCTAACAGAGATCGATCAGATGGAGCTCGAGCTGGATTTAAAAGTAGTCTCGAAGGACAGACGTAACAATATGGCTACGGAGATTTGGCTGCTAACAATGGATAAGGAGCTTGTTGAACTCCGTGAGGAACTATCCAAGCGCATTGTAGAGGTCGAAAATCTGCTTGATCAGCAGAAAATGTTTTGCAGTGTTTTAGGTGAGGAGCCTCGCTACTTAAATAAAATGCCCAAGGCGGATGAAATGTCCGAAATTCGGGACTATGTGCAGGGTCTGCGGGAATTGCACGAGGCCCGCATGAATAAGGTATTCAATCTACGGTATTCAATCCAGAACGAGATGAACGTGCTTGGCATAGCCCCAGAAACAGAAGATGAGGAAAAATTGCTTGATCACACAGATCAGTGTCTGACAGCCAACGTGGTGGAGACACTTACAGAAATGAAAACGGAAGTTACCGACAAAATTGAAGGATTACATGATGACGTTGGCTTTTTGCGCAAAGAGCTTTGTGAGAAGGTCGACGAAATGCAGGCACTAACCCAGTATCTCAGAAGCCGAATAGGAAAGCTCGATGATTCACTTGTTTCGTTCGAGCTGCTGAAACAACAGTTAAAAAGCTACGATGCTCTGCAGATTACCATTGCGAAGACCGTGATCCAGGAACTGCGCATTGAAGTCGAAAAGTATTGGGACTTAACGATGAAAAACGTCAAATATAGGAATGATTTCTTGATGATTGTTAATGACGGCACCTGGGAGGGTGCGCTGGAAAAGCTGGAACACGAGGTGGATTCACTGAAAGATTTTTACGAGACCAACAGGAGACTCTATGAGCTATATGACTGCCGTAAAGAGTTCTGGGAACGCTTGGTGGATCTTAAAGACAATGACAACGATTCGGATCAAGATAATCGCAGAAATAGTCCCATGGAGGATCTTGAACGGACTACTATTAACAAAATGGTGCAAAAGCTCGAGGAGGAGATCACCAAATTAGCTAATGAGTTTTTGGAAGCACATAATTGTCCGTTTAAGATATATGGGAAAGATATATTGAGTGTTATTGCCGACGATTGGGAGAAACTCCGCAAGAAGCCAACTGATGGAGATTTATCAGAACCTACATCACCCTCGCCAACAGACTCTTCGGGCTATGCACCAGCTCTTACTGCAACCCCTCCAGCATACTTTGGATCCCTGACACTTGTGTTGTTGAACTTAGCCGAATCGGTGGAGGCCTCGTCCACTCAAAGAAAGAGAAAAGCGTCTAGCGGAGTAGTCAAAATACTCGAATGCGAAAGCTTTCAAAATCTAACAACAGTACGTGAAGACAACACTCCAGAGACATATGATGAACCAAAACGCAAGAAATCTAAAAAGGACAAGAAAAAGAAGAAGAAACACGACAAACGCAAATACAAACACAAACAAACACAAACACACGATTCTTCTTCATCAGATGATGAGAATAATTCTGAGCCTCCTCATACCGGCGACTAGACCTCATTCAATTGCAATTTAATCACATTTTGACTTAACTAAAAACAGTATTTGTAACACATAAAACATATGTATAACCCACATAAATCAAGTAAAACACATAGAGGACATATAACACAAGATACACATAACACCCATAAAACATATAAAACACAAAAATCCTGTAAAACACATAAAAAAATTAAATATATCAAACACACATAAATCACATAAATCACATTTAACACATAAAACTCGAGTTTTATTGATTGATGGATTTATTTGGTAGTACAGGGTCTAAATGTTCTGAGATGTGCTAAATTTTTGCAGTGTCCGCAACGTACGATATTTAAATGATGTTATTTTTGTGGGAATTTCCTTGTACGAAAGCTATCGACGTGCAATCGATATTTTACTCGATTGTTTCGCGCTATTTCGCTGATGTGCGCATTTGCATTTGTTGTGTTGATTTGTTCACTCAGTATTACTAGATAAATTGTGCCAGTTCACAAAATGAATACACCATTTGAATCGCGTACTCTTGTCAATGGCGGCATGCTGAAACAGTTTACCGGCCAATCTGTCAGCATCATGGTGCGCGTAGAGAGCGTGGCCGGATCAACACTGTTGGCTATCAGCACAGATAATCAAAAGCTGCGGATCAATCTGCCCAGCGAGCTGAGTGCCGCCCAAGGCTCATGGGTAGAGGTAATTGGGATTCCAAGCGCTGGCGACACCATACGAGCCAAAGAGGTAAATGTACTAATTTGTTTGCTAGAGATATATTTCCCTAATATTTCAATGGATTCGCAGATTATCGAATTTGGTGGCGAAAATATAGACTTCGATGTGGATAGCTATAATACGATGACGCAGCTGCTGAATAACGTTCAACAATTCTATCGATATGGTTAATTTAAGATCCACGCAACTTATATTAAATTAAATAAATGGGAGGTATTTTTGCAAAAAATTCAACATTTCGTGTTTGCTTTATTGGGATCTGTTCGCCCCACACACATATATATATAAAAAGGCTATCTAGTGAAGTAATTTGCAACAGCCGAAATAGAAGGAGACAAACTCATATGGTAGCGATTATTGCTGCACAGCCGCATTGGCCACCACGCTCGGATTGTTGACTACTTCGCCAAGGGAGTCGAGCACCTCCTTGCGATAGTCGTCAAAGTCGCCATCGATCTCGTTAATTGTCTGATCTTCGATGACATAGAGGGTGCAACCCGTTTCACGTATGAGACGCTCGTCGTGGGAGACAATGATGACGCCGCCCTCGTACTCATTGATGGCCTCGGCCAAGGCATCAATTGATTCGATATCTAGATTGTTGGTCGGCTCATCCAGAATGAGCACGTCGGGCGCGCTAAGGCACAGTTCGGCGAGAGCGACACGCGCCTTCTGGCCGCCAGAAAGATCCTTCATTTTGATGGTGTGCGCATGGCTGACCAGGCCGAAGGAGCCAAGCGCCTTGCGAGCCTTCTCATGCGGTAAATTGAACAGACGCTGCAGATATTCAGCCGCCGATTCCTCCGCTGTCAAATGCTCGCCCGAATGCTGATCAAAGCGTCCCACATGCAAGCGATGATTCTTGCGCTGCTCGCCTTCTTGTGGCTCTAGTTCGCCGAGCAGCAGCTTGAGAAATGTGGATTTGCCCACGCCGTTGGGACCCACAATGGCCACGCGACTGGTCAAATCGATGCCGAAATCGGCTTTCACGAACAACGGCTTCTGGCCCTCGTACGCGAACGTCACATTGTGAACGCCCAGAATAGGTGGCTGGAGCTGTGAGGGCTCGGGGAAACGGAACTTGACAATATATTCCTTGGGTCGGGCCAGCAACTCTTGCGGACCATCGTCCTCCTCCTGTTTCTGTTGCTTGCTTTTGTTCTTTTCCTGTTTCCGGGTAAGTGATTCCTTCTGCTTCTTCTCGGCCGCCTTCTTCGACTGGCCGTGCGCCTTGAGTTCACGCAGTCGCTTCTCTTGCTTCTCATATTCCTTGATCATCTCACGTCGCTTCTGCACGTACATTTTCTTGAACATGGAATAGTTGCCCTTATAGTAATGAAGCTTCTTCTGGTCCAGATGGATGATTTCGTTGCACACATTATCCAAGAAGCTCTGGTCGTGAGACACGATCAGCAGTGTCTTTTTCCAGCCCTGCAAATAGTTGTCCAGCCAAATAACTGCATTCAAGTCCAAATGATTAGTCGGCTCATCCAGCATCAACAGAGTTGGCTCCAAGTACAGAGCACGTGCAAGCGAGACACGCATTCGCCAACCGCCAGAGAATTTGTTTGTGGGTCGATCCTGCATCTCCTTGCTAAAGCCCAGACCAGCCAGGATACGGCGGGCTCTTGCCTCCGCCGAGTAGGCGCCCATTGCTTTCAGTTCGGCGAATGTGTCGTTCAGCTCCTCCTGGACGCTCATATCTCCAGCGGCGAACTGCTTTTCCAACTCATCGGCCTTCTGCAGCATCTTCGTGCGCTTCACATCGGCCTCCAGTATGGTAGCAATGGCTGTCTTATCGGTGGCCACCACCTCCTGCTCGCAGAGCAGCACATCGATGTTTGGCGGTATGGCGAACGCCCGTGAGGCAATGTGTCGGAGCAGCGTCGTCTTGCCGTGTCCATTGGGACCCACCAGACCGTAGCGACGACCATGGGCGATCAGCAGATTGGCATTCACAAATAAATCGTTTCCTTATCGAAACAAATGGAGAGAATGATTCATTTAAGAGTTAGTCAAGTTGTGAAATTATCTTACCTTTTGCCGATATCGTGAAATTCTCGATTTTGATGTCGACTGCATGCTCAAGTGCCGCCTGTTGTCCAGCGGTCTTCTGCACCTGGGACATGGTGAAGTTGTTATCCAGGTCCGAGTGACCGGCGCCGCCCTTTTTCGTCATCAACTCCATTTGGCGTTCGTATTCCTGTTGTTTCTTATGCTTCTTTTTCTCCTTGTGCGACATTTTCTTCTCCTTGTCCTTGGATTCACCAAGTGCCTCCGATGACTCCTCCGACTTGGGCGTGATCGCTGCCTCACCAGCTTCAACTGGCTCTTGCTGTTCCGTCACAGCTTCCTCGAGCTTGAGTGCAGCAACCTTCTCGCTAAGCTTCGCATCTGATGCTGGCTTAGACTTTGCCTCCTCAACGGGGCTAGCTTGACTATTGGACAAAGGGCTGACGTCGTCATCGTCATCCTCATCGTCGTCCTCTTTATCACTCAATTCGAATTTGTTTTTCTTCTGGCTCTTGGATTTCTTTGCTGCTGGCTTGACCGTCTTATCTTCTGGCTCATCATCCAGATCATCTTCGGCGTCCTCCTTCTCATCCACATCGTCTTCCTCATCTTCGCTCATTGCAAATTTGTTCTTCTGTTGCTTTTGCTTCTTTTTCGATTTCTTGGCTGCCGGCTTGGCTATGGTTACCGTCGCCTCTTCCTCATCGTCTTCCGCAATTTCAGCATCCTCATTATCATCGTCATCGTCATCACTAAAGCCATCATTTCCCTTCTTTTGTTGTTCTTTTTTACTCTTCTTGCTTTGCTGCTGCTGTTGCTTCTTGGAAGCTGGCTTAGCAACAGGCGGTGCATCCTCGTCAGAGCCATCGACCTCGAGCGTTGGTATTGACTTCACCGGTTTCTCATCATCACTCCAATCGTCATTCTTCTTGCCCTTCTTCCCCTTTTTGGCAGCCTTCTTCTGCTGCTGCTTGCCTTGCGAAGACTTTAAGCTTTCAATATCGTCCGCATCATTAATGGACAACTTGCTGGCAGCAAGGGATTCATTATCACTGGAGTCACCGCCGCCACCGCGCTTTCCCTTTTTACCCTTTTTACCTTTTTCATGTTTCTTTTCGCTGACGCTAACTTTCTCTGGCTGTTCCTCCTCCTCATCGAAGCGTTCTTTCTTCTTGCCTTTGGCCTTGGACATGTCTGTGTCGGATGCTAGGTATTAGGTACGCTGGGTGACCTATTGTTAAAATAACAGGGAATATTCAGAATTCAATTATTATAATTTAAATGATTTACGTTTGCGTTGTTTGAGCTGGTGTTGCTGTTGCCAATTCTGCTGCGACAGCGGCTTTCACGTGCACAGCTGGCAAATGTGCCAAGTGTGTGGAGCTAGTGAAAGAGGAAGAGACACACGCGATGATTTGGTGCATGTGTGTGTGCGTGCGTGTTTTGTGTGCTCATTGGAATTATTATCGGAGTCGTGATGTCATCGTTTTGAACTGGTTCACCCCCAATTAGAACGAATCTAAACCAATGACGAGTTTCTTAAATTTTACGTCAACGAATTTTCAGCTGTTTACAGTATGTATATGTTTATATGTAATTTATAAAAACAATTTACAGTCAATTCAGGAAACCATTTCATTTGGCTTGCTGTATTCAGGTGGAACTTTTGGAGCTGATATGTCGTTGAGCTCGATAATGCTACATACATATCGATATATCGATATATTATTATTATTTTTTTTGCCACAATTGTCGCCGAGCTACATAATTGTTTAATAAACAATTAATCACTAATATAAACAAAATAGTGCGAATAGTGCGTGCGATATACAAACTAATTGTATGTTCTTTCCATTGATTCGCTTCCAATACGTTCGTAATTTGCAGGCAGACCAACAACAACAAAAAAACAACGAAAACAATAATAACAAAAACAAGAGAGGCAAAGCCACAACGCAAAGGAGATTGAGATTCGCAACGCAATCAAAAAAAATTCCATAAAACGGAATATAACATACGCTGCCTGAGTGTGTGTGTGTTGTGCGTGTGTGTGCGGAGAGAGAGAAACAGGAAGGGGGCCGCGCGCATAGCCCAAAGGTGGTTAACAGCAGCAGTAGCTAGAGAAGCAGCAGCAACAATAACAACAAGAACAAACACAACAACAACACGACAAGCGAGACCTTGAAAACTTTAAAAGAAATAGCAACAAAAAAAAACTCAAATTTTAACGAAAAACGCAAACAGAGCCGAGCGCAGAGAGGCAACGGCAACGGCCGCAAAGTTATGGAGAGTGACAATTTTCCGCAACGCGCCAATTAACAATAATAATACTAATAATAATAAAAATAATAATAATACCAACTAAAACACCAAATGCATGGAGATCAGCGAATTCGAATTCGAATTCGGAAGCCGTGAACACGTAAACGTAAACGTAAGAATCAAAATCAAAACAAGCTAACGATTTACACCCATAACAATAGCAGCGCCCACACACACCGCACACACGCACACACACACACACAGAGACACACATTAGCACTCACACACATCATGGCAGCAGTAGTTGCAGCCACAGCGAACAGCGGCAGCGGCTGCGTCGCAGTTATGACAGCAGCCACAGCCGTCGGGGACAGTGAGACGAACGACGGAAGCGGCGCATCGAATGGACGAGAAGCGCGTAATCTGGCCGAGAAGCAGCGGCGGGATAAGCTAAATGCGAGCATACAGGAGTTGGCCACAATGGTGCCGCATGCGGCCGAATCGACACGGCGTTTGGATAAGACAGCCGTGCTACGATTTGCCACCCACGGCCTGCGGCTGCAGTACATCTTTGGGAAATCGGCAACGCGTCGTCGACGCCGGCTGAATATGAAGTCAGCCGGCGGCGGCGGCGCCACTGGACCAGGAGCTGGCGGAGGCAATGGCAATGCTATTGGCGTTGGCGAAACGCCACTGCTGACGGATAGGCTGATGCAGCTGCTCGACAGCTTCTTTCTGACGCTCACATGCAACGGGCAGATTGTCCTCGTGTCGGGCAGCGTGGAACAGCTGCTCGGCCACTGCCAATCGGACCTGTACGGCCAGAATCTGCTGCAGATAACCCATCCTGATGATCAGGCGCTGTTGCGTCAACAGCTAATACCGCGTGACATCGAGACGCTCTTTTATCAGCAGCGCCAATGCCAGCGGCAACGTCGCAGCCAACAGCACACACAGTCGCAGTCGGCCAGCGACGATGATGACGACGATGAAGATGATGGTGGAGGTGGATGTGGAGGTGGAGGTGGGGGCAGAGGCGGCGGCAGTTGTGGGGGAGGCGACGATGACGAGGAAATGGAACAACTAGACCAGGACCTAGAACGAACACGCACGCCCAGCCCCCAAACCATCGCCCATATGGCGGCCATCGATGAGCGGCTGCGCGCCGATCGACGCTGCTTCACGATTCGCCTCGCCCGCGCCTCGACCCGTGCCGAAGCCACGCGTCACTATGAGATGGTCAAAATCGATGGTTGTTTTCGGCGCAGCGACTCGTCCGTGACGGGTGGCGCGGCCGCCAACTATCCAATCGTATCGCAGCTGATAAGGCGCTCACGTAATAATAATATGTTAGCAGCCGCCGCCGCCGCAGCAGCAGCAGCAACAAATGCAGCAGCAGCGGCAGCGGCGACGACGACATTAACCGCACCCTGCCTGCCCCAGCACGATGCCATTGCACAGGCAGCGCTGCATGGGATCAGCGGCAACGACATCGTCCTGGTGGCCATGGCGCGAGTGATGCGCGAGGAGTCAACCTGCCTGAGCCTCATGTGCCGCCAGCCGGAGCCGTATCAGCTGGAATACCGAACGCGGCACCTCATCGACGGCAGCATCATCGACTGTGATCAGCGCATTGGCATCGTGGCGGGCTACATGAAGGATGAGGTGAGTGACACACATGACGCATCAATCTAATCAAACACTAATCAACACAATTATTAATCGTGATTAAATGCGTGTAGGGAGCATTCTAGAACTATTGCTACTACATACATACATACATATATACGAAATTTGTCAACACAGCCGGAAAGGCTAAACAGAGTGACAGAAAGAGAGAGAGAGAGAGAGAGAGAGAGAGAGAGAGAGAGAGGAAGAACAACAGGAAGTTAGAGAGAGAAAGCGGTAGAGAGAGGGGGTGGCTGAAGGAGAGAAAGAGAGAGGGATCGAGGAAGAGAGAAAAGACAGAGAAGGAAGAGAGAGAAGACAGAGAGAGAAAGAAAGAGGGAGTCAAACATAATGAAGAGACGTAGACGGAATGAATAAGAGGCACAGCGCGAGTGACAGAGAGAGAAATAGATGCATTTAGAGAGAGAGAAAGAGAGAGAGAGACTGAGCTGATCGTGATATTTACGTACATTAATAGCCGCCAAATTAGACACAATCCCAAAATAAAAATTACAGCTTCAGTTTCAATACACTCGACAACGAAATTGATCATATGAGAAGTATGTGAAAACATGTAAGAAGGCTCTAGTCGAGACTGCTCGACTAGGAGATACCCTGAACCCTCTAAGCTGATATTCTACTCATTCTGCACTTCTTTTATGTACACATGCATACACACGCATCCACACGCACGCATAAGCCTGCGCTCTGCTAACTGCGCAGTAAGCAGCGACTGCGCTTGGTCTGCGCTGCAGTGTGGGCAATATTATGAGAATTTATTTGTTGAATAATTTCTTTTGTAGACATACGATCTTAATGAAACTTTTAGAGCGTAATCATATGGTGAATATGTGTATACATTCCAAAGCACAAGTCTCTAGTACCTGAAATGCGTTACAAATTGGGGGAGAAGGGGGCGTGGTATCCCAAATCTGTAAATTACAAAATCTTTGTATCGATTAACTTTATATACAACGCAAATTTGAAGACTCCAGGTCAAAAAAGGTTCAAATTAGGCTGAAAAAACCAATTTTTCGATTATTCTCGATAAAAAAGTTATCGGACGATTTATCAAAAAATAAAGCAAACTCGTACTGCGTATGGTACACACGAGTATGCATGCCAAATTTCAGCGCTCTAGCTCTTATAACTTCTGAGTTCGACGCACTCGTACGGACGGATGGACGGACGGACGGACAGACGGACAGGGCTTTATCGACTCAGCTCGTCGCGCTGATCAAGACTATATATACTTTGTGGGGTCTGCCACGCCTCCTTCTGCCCGTTACATACTTTTTCACAGAACCAGTATACCCTGATTTCCCATTTTCAATGGGTTCAGGGTATAAAAAAGATAAATATATCGAGCTTTGTTTATACTCTTTATTCACACGCTTTTCAGCAAATAAATAAAATCAAGACTATATAAATATGTCTGTATTTATCAATTCAAATAAAACTTCAAATTGTTTCACAAATTGATGAGCATGAGAATTGCATAGAAGTGTAGTTAGTATCAACAAAGGCTGTAAACAAATCTCGTATGACGAAGCTAGCTACTCCGCTGGGCAGACATGTATATGTCTATGTTTAGATTTAGAGAAATCGATGAGAATTGCATAGGAGAGCAGTGCCTACAAATGTTGCATCGCATATATAGATTCAGCTAGTTGTGCTGTTTGACAAAATTATAATATATACTTATTTATATAGTACTTAGTCTAGATATAGAAACTGTACTTCAAGCGGAGCATAACAGATTTGCTGGTTGTTGTCGTTGCGCTTTAAGCTGCTGTGAGCGGTCTATTGCGCATTTGCTTAAAGCTCTTCTAGGCGAATCTTAATGCATTTTACTGCTGTTGCTGTTGTTGCTGTTGTTTGTTTGTTTGTTGATGTATTTGTTTCTGTGTTTCAGGTGCGGAACCTGAGCCCGTTCAGCTTCATGCATTTGGACGATGTACGCTGGGTGATTGTGGCACTGAGGCAGATGTACGACTGCAACAGCGACTATGGCGAGAGTTGCTATCGTCTGCTATCGCGAAATGGACACTTTATTTACCTGCAGACGAAGGGCTTCCTGGAGATTGACAAGAACAGCAACAAGGTGCATTCGTTTCTGTGCGTCAATACGCTGCTGGACGAGGAGGCCGGCAAGCAGAAGGTGCAGGAGATGAAGAACAAATTCTCGACGATCATCAAGGCCAACATACCCACGCACACCAGTCCCGATCTGCCGGCATCTCGGGCGCCCCAGCAGCTGGAGCGCATTGTGCTCTACTTGATTGAGAATCTGCAGAAGAGCGCGAATGGTGGCCAGGCCAATGGTGGCGCTGCCGATGCGAATGGCAATGGCAGTGCCGACGTTCACATGGATGCCGTGGATGATATGTGCTGCAGCAGCAGTTCGCCCGCCTCTAGCCATGCGACGGGCACATTCGATGAGCAGGCGCCGTCCCCTGCACCGCTGGCCCTTGTGCCACCCGCGCCTGGCCATGTGAAGCACTCGATATCGAAGTCGGTGAATGTGGTGAATGTGACGTCGGCGCGAAATCTGCAGTACCAGCAGCAGAAACAGCAGCGGGAGCAACAACTGGAGCTGAAACAGGAGCAGAAGCAGCAGCAGCAGCAACTGCTGGAGCGCAACATTGTGAACGGCAGTGGAGGCGGCGGCGTCACACGCCAGCTGAGCATCAGTCTGAGTGAGAGCTCCACGCTGTCGCCGGCTAGTGCCAGCAGCTTGGAGCTGCCGGATGATGCCAACAGCAATACATCCCCTCCGCCAGCAGCGCGCGTCAGTGTGCTCCAGAGGCTAATGACGACACCGCCGACGACGACAGCGACAACAACGACAATGCCGAACACGGTGGCCGCTGAAGCGCCATCGCCGCCAGCGCAGCTGCGTGCGGTGTTGTCCAATACGCTGCGCAGCCTGGACACGAAACTGGCGACGCTGGGCGAGGAGGCGCAGCAGCAGAAACAGCAGCAACGACAGTGCAGCGCACTGCCGCCCAAATACGAGAGGCAAATGGATGCCATATTGCTGGAGCACCAGAAGCAGAAGCAGCTTCTGGTCAACATTAAGAGCGAGTACGATGCGGTCCATCATCACACGATTTCAGTGATATCCAAGCAAGCGACAACGACAACACCAACAACAGCGTCCAGTGAGAGTAACGGCAGCAGTAACAGCAGCAGCAGGAGCGGCAGGAGCAACGGCAGCCAATAGTGGTGGAGATTCAAATGTGGCGGCCTGTGCGCTGCAATGGATTAGCTACAATCTTTAATTTATTTAGTCTAAATAGCTCAGTATTCAGTGCACGGCTGGAGCTTTGGCTACCTAACCGCCCATCGTCAACCCTCAGACCACTCCAGCTTCCCCTCCCCACACACTGCAGCATCCAGATCCCATTTCAAGACCCAGTGCGATCAGAGTACAAAATCATATATATTGTTTTAAGCGAAATTTACTCACTAACTATTAACACGTTTTAACAAGAAACGAAAACAAAAACAAAAAATCTTAAATCGAAAATGATAAACAACAAACAAAGCTAAATTAGCACAGTAAAAGGCAAATAAAATTGGGTACAGAGAGAGAAAGAGAGAGTGAGAGAGAGAAAGAGAGAGGGAGAAGAGTCAGGAGAAGCGCAGAGAACAGCGCGATTTTAGCTTTATTCTGTTGTTACAATTGAACAATAATCAAAACGGAAAAAAATATGAAAAATAACGAAAATGATATCCAAAACTATCGAAACAAGAATTCAATTGCGAATGCCTCATTAATTAATACTCAATTATATAATACAATAGTTGTTATTCAATTACAAATCCGTCAGGCGGCACTGGAGCATTTCTCTGCTGAGCACTGAGCTATAAGGCACACATACACACACACACACACACACATAGAGAGACACTGAGTTAATATTTGCAAAGTTAGTTGGAAACAATTCGGAAGATAGAAGATAATTAATTTATTTATACATAGTTTTTCGGATATTTTTGAAGACCAGCATCATTATGGTATGTGTGTATCTACGTATACTTAACATTTCATTTATACATATTTATATATGAATGAGTAAGACCCCCCCCCTGGGCAACCCCTACAGCTCCATACCCGCGTAACATCCACCAAGTTCTGTTCAGTTTCGTTAAACATTGTTTGCGCTCGACTCGATTTCCAATGCGATTTCGACTTCCGATACAAGGCTCGAAGTCCCGTTAGAGTGTGTTCGTTCGGTTTGCCTTATCAGTTAGCACATTTTATTTAGCGAAATTTTTGCGTAGCTATTATTAAACATAATTAATTTTGTAGTATTTTATAACACCAGTTCTTCTTTTCTTGTAAATTTGTTTTCCTTCAGTTCGTTCGTTCGTTCGTTTGTTTTATATCTTTTATTTTGTTTGTTGCGTAGCCTAATTTTTAACTGTAATTTAAGAAATTTGTGAAATTTTGTTTGATTTTTTTTTTATATATATATATTTTATTAATCGAGTTGTGCTCTTAAAACACTTTTGGGTTATACATGCGTAATACGTATATATATAATATATATATATATATGTATATAATATATAGTATATATATATAATTATATATGCAGATGAAGAAAAAATGTTTTGTGTTCTTGCGTTTGTTGTCTAGACTTTTTGTACAAGTTAATATTTAAAACAACCAATAATATTGATAATAATGCGTTACAAATGTTAGCAATTAAAAACATAGCGTGTAATCTATTAATATAAACAACAACAATAATTCATAATGAACGAGTAACGTTAATAATAAAGTAAACAATAATATGTTTTTCCTCTACTTCTTTTTTCAATTATAAAACAAATTTTGATTAAAAAAGAAGTTTAACGATTAACTAGAAATATTTATTTATGGAAACGAAATATGTATGAAAAGTGTAAGTATAATATAGATAATACATCTATGTAGATATACAGAAGTTGGGGAACTACTATCTTCTGATTCCTGATTCGTTACGTGCAAACTAGAATTGTTTTCATAATTATGTCCACAACAAAGCTTTAATATATATTGACATCATGTCCTATAATATCAACACAAGAGATCAACAATTTTAAGATATAGTTTAAAATAGAAAGAGCTTTCCCATTTATTTTTCACAAAAAAAAATTCGTAGACCCTGAATATAACTGTATATGAGTTTATGATGGTCATGTATATGAGTTTACTAAGGTCAATGCTGGATCGATCTAGTCAGTTTCGGTCAAACCTAGTCTTAAGAGGCGTGGCCCTAAAACTGAGAGTTTTCAGTGCAGTCTAAGTATAAAACCAGATGATCTGGACTTATGGACTCGGCTGTTGGTTGATGCTGATCAAGAAAACTAAAATTTTATAAATTTTTTCAAAATAGTGATGCTCTTTAAAATACAATCTTGAATGAGTCAAGTGGTTTGCTATTTGAATATTTTTGTAGAATATATGATGTAAATGGTATATATACATAAATACATATATATGTATATATAATTAATGATTGCATTGAAATAATTGGCACAAGAATGTTTACATTTTGTATACATTTTATTTATTTATTATAATTAATAATTAAATTTAAAGTGATGCTTCTTGTTTACATTGCATTGGGTTTATCTGAGTTTTCTTTTTTTTCTTTCTTTTTGGCCTAAGATGAATTACAATTTTGTTTTGTTTTTAGTTTAATATAAATTGTTTTGTTTCGTTTTAATTTAACTTTATGACTAGTTAATGCATAGACGCAAATGAGAATTGATTTTTAGTAAAGCCCATAACATACGTACAAGTAACTCGGCATAATTCTTATATAGATGCATAATATAAATATTTATATATATTCATTATATACATACAGTAAATATATATATGAATATTTATGTATAGGTATATGAGTACATTAAGTGCGCCGCCCTTTGCTAATGGCTCGCAAAAAACGGTTTATTTAGAACTTGGAGTTTCCTCCATTGATTTGAATTTAACTATTTTCGATTTTATTTTTCCCATTAAGAACTAAGTGAGTTAATAAAAAAAAAAAATTGATTAAAGTTAACGCAATCTTCAATTATTACACTATGCGAAGACATTTTCAACTGTTTGTACAGTAAAAAATAAAACGAAATAAATAAATGATTACAATAAAAGTTTAAGTACTTGATGACTAGAATCGATAAATTTTTAATTGCAGATCGATAAAAAGAAGAAACAATGGCAAATGTAACGAATTATCAAATGAGAATTGCTTTTTGTTGACTTATTTGTTTTAGCAACACCTTTCAGGTACTTCTAAAATATTTTCGTTTATGCGTCATATGAATATAAATAAACGTTCGAGTAACTATAAATACATAGTACACATAAATATATATACGCGTAATCATATATATATGTATATATTAAAAAAAAAAAAAAAAAAAAGGAATGTATTAGTGTATGGTTCAAGCATTTACATGCATGATCAATCTCGATGCCAAATTTATCTATTGCTCCATTATGATTGTATCCTCAGCCTTGACATTGCCCGAATTGATCGCCTCCATGGCCTTGCTCAGCAGCGTCGCATCCTTCAGGCTGACCACCTGCACCAGCTGCGGCTCCTGGCCGGGACCGCCCTGTATCATCATCTGATGCATGCCCGGCGAGACGGTAATTGTTTCCAATTGATCGCCATTTTCCACCTGTCAAAGAGATCAATTATCAATATATATGTATATAAAATGACATAAATACAACTATATATGTATGTTTGAGCTTGTCCATAAATTTACTCATGTTGTTTGGCTTCGTATGACAAATAAATGAAAGTATAAAAAATAAATGGAGTACTTACTTAAAAATCAAGCAATAAAAAATTTAACAAATTTCTTGATGAGCTGCTAAAAAAAAAAGGAAATTACAAAATTAATAATTCTTTTTTTTTTTTTTTTTTTTGTTGAATTGAAAATTAAATAAAAAATCATAATTATAAAATCACAACAATAAAGAATTTATTCAATAATTTTGTTTGATTTTGCTTTGCGTTTCATTCGCACTTTTTGATTTGTTTTGCTTTTTGCTTTTCTGTTTATACATAACTAAATTGCTCTAAAACAATTATAATAATAATAATAATAAACATAATTAGTAATAAAAACACAATAATAATCATAATGATAATGATAATAAAACATAAAATTTATGTATGCACATACAAATTTTTGGCCACATGACTTTGATAATTATATTCACAATAATAATAATAATAATAATATATATATATATATATATATATTTTTTTTTTTAAATTAAAATTTTCTTTCTCTTAATTTGTTTTATTACATTAATTCCTACATTTTGAATGCAAAATTGGCTACGTTGGACGATTTCAACAATATATGACTATATATAAATTTATTACTTTGTTCATTTGATTTGTTTTTAAATTTAAATTTTGATTACTTCACAGTGATTCTATTAACATAATAGCATTCAAAATTCCCTGTTTGCTAAATCCAACTACTTAAGTTAAACTACAAAATAAAACTAAATAAAATATTTGCATATTTTCCATGGATTGCACAAAAAAAAAAAAAAACCAAACTAACAAAGTCTAAGAAAATTAAAAATTAAATCAAAACGGTGTGTTTTTATTCAATCAACTAAATAGGTTAATATTTGGCTTGTGTTTCGATAACATTGTTAAAAACATAAACAAATTAAATGAATTCATTTGGTTTTCATGATTTTTGTTTTTGGGTTTTAGGAACTTGGCAATGCGATTTCATTAAATATTTTTAGCTTTTTGGTTTTACTGCTTCAAGTATAAACAAATTTTTGGCTCAATTTAAATTCAATTCAGGGAGATGGGGCATGCTTGTTTAGTGACGGTTGATTAACTATATTTACTTATCGATTATGCTATTTATCGATTACTAAGGCAAATCTATCGCATTCTAAATATGTTTCTTGTTTCGAATTTGATTTGATTTTTTTCTTTTTGGTATTTGTCGGCATTCACAATTGTTTGCATTTGTATATATATATGTATGTACGTTTGTGTGTGTGTGTGTGTGTGCATTGTATGTACAGCGATGTGCGTGTGTGTGTGAGTGTGTATTTGTGTAATGTAAGTAAAAATGGCAAGTGTTTGTATTTGTATTTGTATTTGTGTGTGTGTGTGTGTCTGTGTGCACGCAGCGCCGTTTTGACTAGATTTGATACGTGCAATGTTAACTAGCTTTAAATATTGATGGAAATTGGCGTTAGGCATGGGCGTGGGCGTGGCAAGTATGTGCGTATGGCTGCTTAAAGTCTACTACTCCAAATGCTCTAATTTAATGGTTTTCGTTGGCAGCTGCAGCTGCAAGGCTGCGCTGCCGCCGACGCCGGCGCCGCCGCTGGCATTGGTCAGGCTGGCGCTATCCACGCAGCGTATGGTGGACGTTTCAGCAGCAGCAGCAGCAGCAGGTACCGTTATGTCGTTTGCTTTTTTGCGTAAAGTTAGCTTACTATTATTATTATTATTGTTAGTATTGTTGTTGTTGTTGTTGCTGCTGCTGCTGCTGCCGGCGCTGCTGTTCAGCTTGCGGCGTTTTTGCGCTGTGCGCCGCGACGCATTTGGTTCGAGGCGCCGCTGCGCAGTCGACGTCGCCGGCGCTGTCAGCACTACGGGCAGCGTCATTTTAATGTTATTATTGCTACTGCTATTACTGCTACAGTTGTTGTTGTTGCTATTATTATTATTATTATTAGTAAGCATGCTATTGTTATTGTTATTGGCGAGATTAAAGCTAGCGGTAGCATTCAAATTGCTGCTGCCAGCGCCGCTGCCGCTGCCGCTGCCGCTACCCGGACTGGCGGCCCAGTAGAACCGAATGCCAGGCGGCGCTTGCAGTGTCAGCGCCGGCTGTTGCCCGGCAGTGGACGTTGCCGCTGCTGCTGCGACGCCAGCGCCGCTGCCAGTGAGACGCCGGCCTAGCATGGCGCCAGCGTTGATTACTGAGATGCCCAGCAGCGAGGTGGGCGCGGCAGCAGATGGGCTGCCGCTACTACTATTATTACTGCTGTTGGTTGTGTTGCTGTTGTTGTTGTTGTTGCTGTTGTTGTTTGGTGTGTTGCTGTTATCTACCTGCATGGGGGCCAAGCACACGGTGCCATCGCTATTCGTCTGCAGCTGCTGCATGTTGGCCATCACCGACTGATACATGGAGACGGGCACCGATATAACATTGCTCACTGAGACCGGATATCCTGCGAATGGTTGTCAACATGAAGTAAGTATTCACATACACAGAGAGACTGGTGCATCAACTCAAGTGGCACTTACCCTGCCCATCCTCGGTGGTAATAAAGATTTGGCCATCCTGCGCCTCGGTCAGATCGACGGTCATATTGTCATGACCATTCACATCGGCGAGACTTTGTACCGTTTGTATGGTGGCGCCGCCTTCGCCTTGATGCAGCTGCAATGTTAGTTAACGGCATAGTGAGTGATGAGCAAACAATGTTATTGACAATCATCATTAACATTTGGACATACCGTTGCCACGCCCTGAACCTGAGCTGTTGTGCCGTCGGGCAGCGTTATGATTGGATTGTTAGGATCCACCTGTATGAGAGAGACGGTGCCATCGGCGTTCTGCGACAGGACAGTTTGTGTCGTGTACTGTTAAGTAGAATGTTAAGAGCATGTTAATAAATGGCATTATGCTAACGAAGCCACTAGGAAAAGGAAAGCAAATAATACAAGCAAACAGAATAGAAAATAGAAAAACACAAGAAATTTCATCAACGAACATCAAATGCAATGCAAACAAAATTATTGAAAAATGTATGCAAATTATTAAAAGTATTTCTTATTGTGTAGTGTGTTCCGTTTTGTGTGTTTCAATGTGTTTCGAGCTACTGTTGTGTGGTGTATTTACATGTGTGTGTGTGTGTTGATTTCTGTTGTTTTGAGCGCATGAAATGATAAACCAAAATAAAATTCAGCTGCAAATGAGAAAAAAAAAAAATTGCATAAAAAAAATACAAAAAAAAAAAAAAAAAAAAATTTTCGCTGTTAAAGTATTGAGTTAAACATATATACTTATATTTATAATAGTAAACATTAAAAGTAATGCAAACAAAATCAATCAATAACAATATTCCAAACAAATGTATAACAATTCAAGAAAATTATATTATAAATAAATAACAAAATTCGCCGAACTTGAGCATTATGCAGGACATTCAATGACTTTGGTTTTTAATTGAGTTAAGAGAGCTAAATATCGGAAATCTATTATATCTGACATATATTTTATATTAAAATGACGGCTAAGGAATGTATACTAAAAATTGTTGAACTTATGCCTTTAAATAATTTTACAACTAGCGAATTTTTAACTTGTTAATTTTTGATCCTAAATTATTTTTTAAATTTTCAATTCATCAGATCTTTTTTTTCAATTCTTTATTGACCTCTATTTTTATTTTTAAATTTATATATATATATATATATATATATATATTTTTTTTTAATTTTTTCCTAGCTAATCAAAAACAAATTTTAAAATTAAAATAATTGGAAATAATATTTTTATGAATTTGCGCAAACAAATCTTGGCATTAACACTGAACCAACGGGTTTTACATTCGAAATAAATATATTTCCTCTAATATCTTTATTCATTTTAATTTTAATTTTAATTTTTTTTTTTCAATTTTCAAAAGTGATGATCCTCTAGTTAAAGAAATCTATAAAATGGTTAGCTAAATTACTAATATTTCTGCTGTTTTCATTCAAGTTGACAATTTCTTAAAAAATTTACAACAATCTCAGTCTTTCAGTTGCTCAATCTAACACTCACATAGGTAAAGCTTTCAGAAACTGTTGATGTAAGGAGAGAATATATAATGTTTGCTCTTTGCTTTGCCTAGATCAAATCGTCGTGCATAATGCCCAAGGTCAAACAGCTGGATTAGGGTTTGAAGTTTGAAGATTGAATCTAGTTTAGTTACAAGTTCAGAGAGATTAGTACGAACATCAACGTCGCTCAGCGTTATGGGCTCGATGCAAACTTGGGCATTGGCTATCTGTTGGGCGGTTACGGTCTGAGCAGCATTCGATTGCTGCTGCTGCTGCTGCTGCTGTTGCTGCTGCTGCTGAGCAGCTGCGGCAGCTGCCTGTGCCGCCTGCGATGCACTTACAGCGGCTGCTGTTGTCTGCACAGCCGTCGCTGTGGCCGTACCGCTCGCCGTTGTCAATTGAATCGTTTGCGGCTGCGACTGGCTGACCGCCTGGATGTGCACTGTGGTCGTGTTGTTGTTGCTGGTTGTGTGCAGATGTTGCTGCTGCTGATGGTGCTGCTGCTGCTGCTGCTGCTGTTGGTGGTGGTGTTGCTGCTGCTGTTGCTGATGATGATGATGTTTGTTGCTGCTGCTGCTGCTGCTGCTGCTGCTGTTGCTGCTGTGGCGCTGGCGCCTGGCATATCTCGATCTTAGTCGATGCCGGCAATGTGGCCGTCGTGGTCACATGTTGATTGTTCGTGCTTTGGATGATCGTCGGAGCTGGCGTATTCGATTGGGCTGTGTGCGTTGTGATCACTGTGCCAGCGCTGTTGATCTTCACCACGTTCACCTGCTGTGGCTGCAGTTGCTGTTGTTGTTGTTGTTGTTGTTGTTGTGGGTTAGTGGTGTGATCGCATGGAGTGTGGATGTGTGCGTGTGTAAGTGTGTGAGTGTGTGTGTGTGTGTTAGTAGGGAACGCGAAATGGGTGCGCATAAATGCAATGGAATACCGTATTATATTATTTGTACATTATATGATTCCCCCATCTCCCATCCCCGATTTCTCTCTCTCTCTCTCTCACTCTCTTCCTCTTTCGCTTTGTTGTGAGAGAGTCTGGAGAGATTTGTGGATTACTCACTTGGCTGGTGGTTTGATTAGTGGCCGGCGTCACCGTTTGCACCGTCTGTATGGTGGGCGTATTGGACAGCTGCTCCATGTCCTCGTCCTCGTCGCCAGACTGCGAGATCAGCGCATTCACCTTGTCCTCGTCGTCGGCGAATGTCGGCAGCAGATCCTCGCGTCCATGATATTTGTAGCAATTGATCACAATCTTGCGCAGCGCATGGGTCCAGCTAATCTGTGGTCAGTTAGGGAAATTGGGGGGAGGGAGGGCGATTAATAAGACACGATTCTGCCATTTGGGGCGGCTGTTGAACACCCACCCCACCCACCTTCTGCTTGTCATCCTCGGAGCGGGCATCCATGCGCACATTCGCCCACGGCAACTCCTTGGGCCACCATGGCGGCCGTGTCGACTCTCGCCCCCAGCCCGGCTTGCCGCGCCCCGTCGAATACTTGAGCATGAGCGGTATGAACGCACGCAGCTGTGCCTGCGTCATCTTCTCGACGGGCGTCGGTATGCCATCGATGACCAGGCCGGGCAGCTCGAACAGCGAGGGATCCTCTTGCGGCGGCGGCGGCGCCTGTTGGGCCAGCGCATTGTCCAGCTCATCCATCACAATGTTCTTCAGATTGCGCAGCACATCCTCCAGCGGCTTCGCCCCGAACACCTTGTAGCTGGTGTTCGGCTTGCCGGGCGTCGCCACCAGCACCACCGCCTGCTTGCCCACGCGCCCGGTGAATTCGTAGATGATGCCGCGCAATTTGCGTAGCAGACGATTCTGTTGCCGCTTGCGCACCGACGGATTCGTTTCGAAGCAGTGCGGACGCTTGCGTTTCTTTGAGCTGGCTATCGCAGCGGCCGCTGCCACACCCACCGGCCCAGCAGCCGCCAGCTGGTGGGCGACATCATCGTTGGCCAGCGTATTGAGATCGCCATCGTACAGACTGCCCTCGCTGCTAATCAAATCATCGTCCTCGTCATCTGTGGCCAGACTCTGCATGTCGTCGTCCAGCATCTCGATCTTGTAGGTGGTGCCATTGCTCTGGCCACCGGAGGACGACTGCGCCTGCGAGCTATTGCTGGTGGTGGTGATTGTGGTCACGTTCAGGCCGCCGCCGCCACCGCCGCCGCTGCCGGAGCTGTTGCTGCCGTTGCCCGTGGTGACAATTGTGTTGCCCGTGACGGTGGCGCCACCGCTGACGCTGCTGACGACCACATTCCCGCCGCTCCTTTGGCTGCCAGCCGGCGCCACAACCAGCCGATAGCTTGTGGTTGCCAGCTTGGTGGCTGTGGCACGTCTGCTCCTGCTGGTTGCTGGTGGTGCTGGTGGTTACTGACGGTGCTGGCTGTGCTGCTGCTGCTGCTACTGTTGCTTTCCACTGTCAATTCGTTCGTCAACTCGGCTCCCAAGCTAGGTCTCCCTAGTCGCATGCGCAATGTATTTTTTATTTCCTAGTTTCCTGTTTTCGTTGTGTTCTGTAAAATGGAGGAAAACATTTTGTATTTGATTAATTCTATTATTTATTTATTTATTATTATTAAATTATGTATAATATATATTATTATCATTATTATTATTATTTTTTTTTAGAAGGGAGTGGGAGAAGAAGATCATATTATATCAATCAACTAATTTTTTTTTTTTTTTTTTTTTTTTTTTTTTTAATATTTGTTAATTATGGGCTTTTATATTCGTTTTCATTGTGAAAAGAATATATTTGTTTTAAGAACTCCTCGTCTGGGCAGCAAGGAGGATGTTGCTCTATACATATATTTATATATATATATAGTGATTAGAGATACAGATAAATACAATACTATACCATACTAAAATTATATAATATACTCTCGTGTACTCTCTTCTTATAGCATAGAACTCGGGAATTCCTGTAGCTTTTACAATAGAATCATTTGTAGAATTGAGCCTATTGAAGCGAAGGACTCCCATATCTCTCATACCTACGCAGAAAAATAATGATATATAAGCTTATATAGCTATATATATTCATGTGCTCAACTTAAATGGGGATAAGCTTCAATACTTTTACAGACGGAAAGCCAAAGAATGTGGGTTTTTGTTTGAAATCCTTATGGATCGAAATAAATATTAAGTCAAATATGCAATATAGGTATATATGCAAATTAAGAAAAAATACAAATTAGCTAAACCTCAAAAAAGAGAAAGAAAAGTGACCAATAGCTTTACAAAAATATTATGTGGATAATAAATTGTATACATATCTCTGGGGACTATATACAAAATTTTAATTTTTTAAAAAGCTGTGCTACTCAACAGCCATAGATCTAGACATAGGTAAAAGGCAAGGACTTTGACAAAAGTTCAATTATTTTAAAATTTTGAAAATGTATTTCGCTTCAACGTAGACTACGATTATCTTGGAAAAGATATGTCACACATACAGCAAGAACTCTTAACAAAAACCCAAGTATGCTAACAAACTATAAAACCAGCTCAAGTACAGAGATATGCTTAAGATAGTCCCAAATTTCCATTATAGTTATTATGCAAATTTTGACACTGTTTCTAGGCTCATGGCGGGTGGTGTACGTCACACAGCGCAACTGCTCGACAAAATTGACAAAACGACGAAAAAAAAAGCACAAACAACGAAAATAAAAAACAATTAGCTGATAAGCAATGAGTGAATCAGGTCAAAAGCGCGCATGCGCAACATTCGAGAACACAAAAAACTAAATTATGTGCGCCATATAGTACATACATATTCAATGATTAAGTAAGAACGAACATCAAAAACATTGTACATACATGAATTCAATTTAACCAATGAATGCCTACGAGAGCAAGGTACGAAATGGAAAGGAACGCGTTGAAATGTGCAACGACCCACTGTCAGTTCATTCGAATTGATATTAAAATACGAAAGAAATGTTATTTAAAAGAAATGTTATTTATGTACAGGGATATCTCTATACTGATAATTATTATTATAATTATTAATAATGGGTATTTTTCAAAAATATTTGAAAAGGTAAAGTGTAAATAGTATCAAAGAAGCTATTTATCAAATGTTGTCTTTTAGGCTTTAAATATAATACATATATACTTAAGTTGATATACATTTATCTTGATTTTATTGACCGATAAAAAAAGAAAACAAGGGATGTTCCGATCTCTGGCAAAATACAGCATCAATAACAAACAGCATAGAAACAAATCATAGACAAGCTCGATTTGCCAGACAACCCCTAATCTAATGTTGTGTCTCGCTTGATGTTTGTTTTCTTATAAGTTTCCAAGTCTAAACAAACTCTCCAGTTGGAATTCCAATTGGAATGAAATGTAAGTAGATATAACTGTCCCTGTCTCTTTTATTAAACAAAATGGTTTACGAAATGCACTTTAAGTATATCCTTTTCACATCTCTCTTTCTCTCTCTCTCTCTCTCTCTCTCTCTCTCTCTCTCTCTCTCTTGCTACCTATGCTTTTTTACTTATTTATAAAATGGAGTCCATAACGCGCAGACTCAGCAGGTTAGTCCATCAAACTTTCCAGTTAATGTATGTGCACACACACATACATACAAATTAGTTGATATATGTATGTGCACACATACATATACATAGTATATAGTTTCAATATGGTAGCAGCCGCTGCACGTGCGCGTTAAATTTTATTTGTGAGTCTCTTGTTTTTGGGTTTTACAAAGTTTGCAGTTTTTGTTTTTGTGTAACAAAAATATTAATATGAAATACTTAATATTGTATAATGCTTGCCTTTTGCTGATTTTCGATTTTAACGCACTGCACAGCACACACACACATGCACAATATTCGAACAAGAAAAAAAATAAATAAATATGAATAAACACAATTGGCTGATTTGTTTTTGTTAAAGTTTCCAACTAGAATTAACGCCGAAATTTAATTCGAAACCGAAATCGAAACCGAAATAGAGTACGAATTGTATACGCACCGCACAACGGTTAAATCGACTATGATTATAGTTACAGTTCCGAGCTGAAGTTTATTGTTATTGTTGGCAGTTGTGTACCATTGGGTTGGCGCTGCTGCTACCGCTGGCGCTGTTGCTGCTGCTGAAACTGCTATGCGGCTGGCTTTGCGCTGCGCTGCCTTTCCGCCTGCCCAGTTGAAGTTCTATTTGCGTTTGCTCAGACGACGTTGAGGGCGACGGCGACGACGCGGCGCACACTGACAATATTATCGAAGAAGAGCGAAGAGAGCGACGATGAGCACTGAGCACTGAGCAGTGAGCACTGAGCAGCGAACAGTGAGCGACGAGCGAGCAAGCGAACAAACGACCACACTGCGCCAAACCACCCCACGGATTGACGCCGTGTGCATGCATTTACATTTTCGGTCACTGCGATGGCGACGACGCAGACGGCGGCGTCGACGCAGTTAAAAATCAATACTGCGCCCATGCGTCGACTTTGTCACTTTGCGCTGAGACGGCAGCCAACAGTCAAGAAATACAGTGCGCGACAGAGATGACCATACAGCAGCAAGCTCTGACTATGTATGTATGTGTGACTGCGTGCTACGTTCTCTTCTGCTCTGTTTTGTTTTGTTTTGCATTTGCTATTTACTAATTTTTGTACTAAGGTTTGCGTCCGATGTACACACATTGAAAAGCTTTCCGAAAGCTGCTCTTGACAGGTCAAAAGCTGTCACTTGCATGCGTGCAAAGCCTAACGCCCATCCACCCGCTAACATAATTTTGGGAATATTAAAAAGAGACAGCTATATATGCAACTATGTGTGTGTGTGTAAATCGGACGTTATCTGTGTTGTGTTGTGGTTTCTCTCTCTTCCTCTCTCTCTGTGTGTGTGTGTGTGTGTGTGTTTGTATGTATGTACATGTGTTTGCATGCGAGACGTTGGCAAAAAAGGGCTGCGCAGCTACCCCCAAAAGCGAAACACAACCATCCCCCATGCAAGCACTGCCAACAGCAGAAGCAGCGACAGCCGCAGCGCCAGCAGCAGCAGCAACAGCGACAGCGACGGCAAGAATCAACAACAATAGCAACAACAGCGCACGCAAACGCATTGCGCTTGGGCAATAATCGTGAAGTTTTACGCTGACGCTGTTATGCTACACATTTTGGCCATATGGCTACGGGTTACGCATGCACTGCTTGCACCACCCACCACCAACACTATCAGCACCACCAGCACTGCCAGCACTACCCTTGTTAAAGCCCCCCTCCTGCCACATCGCAGACAATAACAAAAACAACAACAGCTACACTGGGGTAGTTGATGTGGTAAGCTCGTTTCACTTGCGCGTGCCAAGCAGACAATTGGCCTAGCGCAACAGTGCTGGCCATAAAAAGTGTGCTACCAATAAGAACTACATATTTTAAATTCCTTACTGAACATTGTCTTGTTACATATCAATATTATATCTGAAACAAATTGCGAATTAGAATGTGTGTGTGTATTTTTTGTTTTGTTTTTTTGAGTTCAGTGTAAATTTTAGCTTTTAAATAAAAATAAATAATTTTATTATAAGTAAAAGCACAAAGAAAACTCCTTGAATTGCGATCAATAAATATATTTGTTGTTTTCCATGCACTCATGTGTACACATTTTTATGGCTGTCACTGTATTCTGCTCGACTATTCTGCTGTTGAGTGGTGCGTGCGCAATGTTCCGTTCGCGTTAAGTTTTTCTTCACTAATATGTTTGTGTGTGTGTATGTGTGTGGGTGTGTGCGCAAAGTTTGGTTAAATGCGCTGAGAAGCATGCTACAACGTTTAATACGGCAGTTAAAGCCAAGCACACACACACGTAGCTCATTGCGTTGTTGGTGTGAGCAGCGCTGCCTGCAGCCATCGCTCCAAATGCGCCAGCGCGTATTTTCAAGATAGAGCAAATAGATTTTTTCCAATTAGAATTTCATACCATTTAAAAAACAAGAGACATGTAAAATATGGCAAACAGCCAGAAAAGAATTGCAACAATCGAGGAAGCAGAAAAATATGTACATACATATGCAGAGTCGTGCGAGGGTCACACTTGGCGCTTGCGCTTTGGTCACACTTTTGATTCTTTTCTATTATCTGGCAGGCTATTTATATGGCAATGACAAAATAGAAAAGCAAGCGAGCGCGCACTGTTTTTTTTTTTTTTGGATTTTTTATTTTACTATATTCTCTTCTTTTTGTATTTCGTTGTCGCTGCTTTCACAGCGAGTTGCGCGTAACTGTTTGTGATTGTAAGTGCATGCGCCTGCCGCCTAGAATCTATTCTTAATGCATGCATGTGTATATAAATACGTGTGTGTGTGTGTATGTGTGTGCATATCTCCCACTGCGTCAGCGCGCTCACCGCTAACAAATACTCACGTACACACGCGCACATTATAAATAATCGATAGCTATTGTTTTGCCTGCTCTCTCGCTGTAGTCGCACTCTTTCTCTCTCTCTCTCTCTCGCTCTCACTTAGTGTATGTCTGTGTGTACTTGACGTCTACTATAACAATAAGGCGATAAAGTGATGACAGAAAAATAAAATGAAATATACGAATAACAACAACAAACTTAAGTTACGCATGCGGCGGTCGCGGCTACGGCAACAGCGACGGCGCACACTATATATACAAAGCCGAAAAAAAAGAAAACAACAGCAACGGCTACGGCAAATGGCTAACGCATGCCCCGTGTTCAAGTAAAACAAAACCATGTAGCAAATTCCAATTGGAACTGTACTCGCTATCAGATTTTCTGCTTGGCATTTTCAAGACACCCTCACGACACAGAGACTTCCTCTCAGCTGTAAACAGTAGTGTCCAATTTAAAGTACACAGTAGGCGCTATCGGTTGCCACGGCTGCTGTGTGTATCTGGCCTTCATTTCAAGGGTGGGCTGTGCCCAGCAACCCCCATGCACAAACACACACACACCCACAGATACACAGTACATACAGACAAACATGTAGGCGTACACTTGTATGCCCAGGCAAAGAAATTCGAATTGGAATTGAAGCTGAAATGGAACGAGTGGAAATTGATGAAGATAAATAAGAACAGTAAATGCGAGTAAAGGAAGATGCAAATATTGAGCAGAAGAAAAATGCAAATTACGCATACGCCATGTAAACTCGTTCTCTTTCCAAGCCATTTTGTTATGTGCATTCCCTATGGAATTGCAATTATCTATGTATATATGTATGTCTCCACAAACATAAACACGAAGACAACACAGCAGAAAAACAAATGAACTAATATATATGAAAAAACGTTGCGCAGGGAACGGCGCATGTTTGAATTACGGACACTCGCAGTAGAAATTGATGTTATGGCTACGGCGCCGCTGCCAATGGTGGCCAAAGCCAACAGCAACAACAATAATAATAGCTTTGACTTGTCTGTACACATTTACCGTTAGAAATTATAAAGGCTCCAATGGATTATCTAACGAAATTGTATGCACACACGCATATACACACACAAACACATCCATCTCTCCATCTATTTGTATGCATGCATGTATCCACATAAATTTATGTAAAGCTCGACGCCATTTTGTGCAAAAGCGCCTGTTGTTTTCAATTAAGTTGTACACACAAATTAACTTAAATACCGTGCAAATTTAAATAGCGAAATGAATGTTTTTTGTTTGATGTCAATTGGATTTTGCGTGAAAAACTTTTTGCTTACTGCGGCTGTCTGCTCTGAAACTTTTGCGTTGCCCTGCGCGTGCACAAAATACACACACCCACACGTACACTGGCAAGCTTTCGTATATATTAATATACACACACGCATATATATATATATATGTGTGTATATGTACATCTGTTTGTGTGTGCATGTGTGCAGTTGGCTGGCGCGGAGCAGGCCCAGTGCGAAATTGCAGTGGAAAATCGAAAATTCTTCACGTCTGCGTCGCGCTCACGCAAACACATACACACACAAATGTAAATATAGATATGTATATATATTTGGAATGGCTGTACGTAGAAACGTGTAAGCTGGTACGCACCTGTGTGTCAAATGTATTTTCAATCCGCTGTTGTACAAACATCCAAAGTTAGTTTTTCTATTGATAACAAATACATTTGCATTCGACTTGTATATGTATACACATATATGTATATGTATACATACAGACACGCACGCACGCACACACAATCAACGATTGGTAACTGACAACAAAAAATATACACACACGCGCGTTAGGAGTCGCGTTCTCGACGCCGCCGCCAACGTTGTTGTGGATATTGCTTATTGGTCGCCGCTGCCGCTGCGTCGTCCAGATTTATAATCACAGCGGCATTTTACATTTGCGCACTGCAGTTGCGTCCGTTTTTTTTTACTTATTCTTTTGTTTTATATATACATGTATGAAATTTTTGTTCTAGCTCTAGGAGCCAGTGCTGCACAACAATCGATGCCGTTGCTCGATGCTATCGTTGGCTCTGTTAAATGGCACAGAGTTCTTTGCATTGTGGAGCCAGAATGTTAAGTGAGGAGCAGCTCTATGCAAATCAGGAGCAATACTGTTAATGCGCAGGGTTGAAATCAGCAATAATTTGTGTACGTTAATTTGAAAAGTAGCTCAGCCGTTTGATTCGCATAAATCTTATATCCTTTTGCACTATGCAGCTTATTTCTGTTGTATTACAAACACACGTAAGCCCTTCACAAGGCAGCTAGCAATATCAAATTGAAAAACAGCTAAGCGCACCAAATGAGGGACTCACATGCAATGCGGTTCATATAAATAACTTAAACACTTATTGCACTTAAAAAAAAGTATGGAAATAATTTTTATTTTTCACTTGCCATGATTATGTTTATAAAAAAAAAAATATGGGTCTTCACCAAGCGAATGTGTCGACAATCCGAAGTAAACTGCTGCTAGCTGCAGCAAGCGTCGGCTTTATAAAACGCTGTCGACGACTTGTGGCTTTCTACATAAGCCCATAATATTTTCCATATATAGATTAGGATAAGTTCTGATAAATCCAAACAGTCATGCTAAGCAACAAATAATACTCCTGCGAAGATCTCAGCTTCTTGCTAGACCACTGCCCGCAGAAATATGTGAGCAATATACGTATATACACATATGTATGTATGTGTATATATATATATATGTACATGCACATATAAATATTTTTATATTTATACACATATGTGAGTTAAAGTCGCCTTTTATTTTTCTTATCGCTTAAAAGACCGAGGAGGTTGCGAGTCGCTAATAATCTACAATGGGCTAGCGGTCAGTTTTTCTGGCACAAGCTGGTATTTGTAATCATTTTCTGATTTTATTTAATTTATAACAGCATTTGGATGTTATTAATTATCGATTGTCGTTATCAGCTATGTTAAGATAACA